TATTCTTAAAGTGATAACTAACGTAATGTTAATGATAAACGTTTTCACTCGTAATGTTGAAAGCCCATGTGATTTCTCTTGCATGCAATTTTGGTGAATAAATAAGTATGTGAGCGGAAAAAGTTAACAATAATAATCACCATTCAAATGATATTTCGTCCACAGAATATATATATTTGTTTTGCGTCGAAAAGTTTATCATAAAATCATGATGGAAGCGACCATTCAAAGTGAATATTTATCTTTCAATGTTTATGTTTAATAATGGATGAATGATAATAAAAATCATAACAAAGTTATGAGCAAGAATGGAATGGAAGAAATGGCTTTAATGACATTTCCACTCCTTACATGATAAACTTGTTAAATCTTCATTTAGATAACGTCTCATTTGATAGTCTCATCAACATGAGCATTCACATTCTCATGACGTTCTGTTCATCTGATAATTCATTTTAATCTTTCTCTCAACATTTGCTTGCCAACATTTTCACAATTCATTAACTGTCTTTATTCATCAATTGCTTCTCAGCATTTTGATGATGTTTTTAATCAAATATGTTGATCGATTTGCTTTCAACTTGGAATGAGTTGAATGTTGTGAAATTTGCAAAAGTTCATATTCGAGTGAATATTGTTGAGAGTAAATTGATGTCTATCAACTGATGTCAATTGTTGCCCAAAGCCATCTTTTCAACGAATAGTTGAGATATTTTTCTTTCAAATTTTGCGAGCTTTACTTTTTCTCTGTATCTTTCGTTGTAACCAATTTTCAACATTCATCATTTTGACGTAAATTGTTCAACTTGAATGGTTTGATTGCCACAATTGGAATTGGTAATCATGTAATTGAAAAGAGTTACTTTGAAGAGGCAAGTACTCGAGGAGGAAAACTGTTTCAATGAAAATGTTCAATGGAAAAGAGTCGAAAAGTAAGTCAATATCTCTTTGCCTTTTGTAACCGCAAAGATGTTTTGACGTTGATCTTATCTAAACATTTGACACTCACTTTAACATCAACTAAAATGATGACAAAAAGAAGTGAGTTTATTGCAATTTACAGTTTGATGAAAGTGAAAGACAAATAACTGGAAGAGGTGAAGTTGAACACTTTGCAATAACTTTTCAATTTTCATTTCCCTTTGCAAAACTCAACACTTGACTTCAACTCGAAATTATTAAAACAATTGTGATGTAAACTACTGATGTATGAAATTCAACGAGAAAAAAAGTCAATACTTTTATTTTGCATAATGTGAAGGATTCCATGAAAGAAACCACAACCAGCAGATGCTTCATTCTGAACAGTAGATCACTGCACGAAGCTAATAACTCGATCTTGAAAACGATAGTTTGACTCAAAATTCAAGAAGGTTTATTTGAATAAAAGGAAGGATTCATTTGCAGAAGCACTCTATGGTTCATTCACTACTTAAATCACAGTTCAATCGCACTTTAGCAATTAACAAATCACAGTAAATATTTGTGAAGATTGGAATTGAGGCAATTACTTTGAGTAGACTTAGGAGAGGAAAGGAACCACTCGAGACTAAAGCCACTGGTCTTAAGCCCAGTTTACTCGCCGGGAGTGAAGTCTAATTACAATGATTAATTTCAGACTGACAACAATTAAGGACTTCTTAATGCAAAGTTTAATGACGGGAACTTGACCAATGCCTAACCTGTGGGAAGAAATTATGTTACAAATAGTTTAATTAAATCCATGCTTAATTTTAGGGTTAGAAGGCTGAAATTTTCATGAAATGAGGATCTAACTTTGAACAATACTTGATCCAAATCTGAAGTTAATCCGCACTTTGGTTCAAAAGTTATTAGACATATACGAATTTTTCGGACTGGTCTTAAATCCTCAGATTATTTAGCGGAATTGTGCCAGACATTTTTGATCTTAAAATTCAGGCCGTTTCTTAAATCATAAAGTTCCTGAATTGAGACAGTTGATACTTTTAGAAGTCTGTTTTAAGTTAAAGTTTGTTTCACTAGATTTTGCTAAAACAATTTTCAACAAATCATTAACAAAATTAAAAATAACGGCAAAAAATTTGGTTTTGCTTTTCTCGAGCGCATCATGAAAAATCTTAAATTTAAGGCGGATTAAGAAGTTTTCGAAGAGATTAACTTTTTCCGAGTAAACCTCTAACCTCAACCTAACTTCAGCAAAAAAATCAAATCAATTGAATGAAAAACAAAGAAGATAATTCATTTACAAGAATTTGTAACATAATTTCTTCCCACAGGTTAATACAATTGAGCACGCATTCATTCACTGACATGGTTGTCTTCTGATATCTTATATTTTGTGTATGAAGAGACATAGGAACTAAATGTCTGAATTGGTTGAGGGAATCAATATTGTAAGCGGGAATAGTGATGTTGAGTACTCTTGGAGTAGTTAGAAATGCAAAATTTGCAGAAACCAAACTCGATTCGAGTGCAACTATGATTATCGAACGAAAGTTTGAAAAATGAAGTTTGAGGACTTTTCTCCTTCCAATTGATCTTACTTACAATCGGATTTGATTTCTTACTTTCTTCGCCTTTTCCAGGATAACAATTGAAAGGGAGAAAAATGTTATCATTGAAAACTAATTTCTGTGTAAATTATAATTCAAGTGTAATGAATATGAGTTGATTTTTTTGTGAAAAGTTTTTTTTCCTCTTTTCTTATTTAAATGATTTACATCATAATATTTGAATGATAAACTTTACATTGATGATACAAAAGCGATTTATCATTTCAACTTGTTTATTGTTGAAAGGCAAAGAGCAAAAAAGGAGAAACAAAAATGGTGTGAATATGATGAAAAGAAGACGAATCTAGTTTCATGCATATTCTGAAAACCAATTTTTCCTCTGAATTTATACTGAAAATTTTCCCTCTCTTCCACCATCTTTTCCCTAATCGTGGAATCGTTGAAAGAAAAAGTGAATCAAATTGACAGCAATATGTATATATTTCATTGTTGCAAACACTCAGTAAAAGTGAAATATGCTTCATTCAAATTAACATTCAATAGCATTTAACGGATGATGACAGCAAAAAAAGAGTGTCAAATGAAAGGACAAAAAGTCGAGAGAAAAGAAAATGATTTTTGGCGAAAAAAAGTGTTGAATGTTGAATAATTTTACGCTTTACTAAGTTGATCATGAAAGGTTTCAAGTTTCAATTAATGTTAACTGTTGAAATTGTCCAACTTGTCTGGCGTTCATCATGATAATCACGAGTCAAGAATAAGATGGCAAAAAATTGGTTAATAAGAGGAAAATGATAATGATGAATTTTTGGGTGAAATAAGTTAAGGTTGACATTGATGTATCATGCAATAAATACACAAAATGAGTTCAGGTTTTTTCCTCATTCCTGTTCATCTTCCCATTATCAATCCTTTTATGTGACCTTACTTTGCCACATCATCTAAATGTCAACAGTTATCTTCAGAAGGATGACAATAATCATTCTTCTTCTTCTTCTTCTTATTTTCGCCTTTCCTTCTCATTCCCTGTGAAAGTGTCACATAAATTGTTTATACTCAAAGAGATAAGTGATGGTTGAAAATTGATAACATTGGTCAGACTCTCTATTATTATCTTTATATTGACAGAATATCTTTAAACACTGGGAGTGAAAGTTTTCTTGCTTCACTTTGGAAAGTCAATGAATAAACAGGTGAACGAGAGAAAAAATGTTTACTGAATATTCGCCTGTTTGCCTGAGAAAACCAATAAGATTATGTTTATCGCCTGTAAGCATTTCAAGTTTACATTCCCAGTCAACCTTGTTTATCATTTGTGACAAATTTTATCACTAAAACATTGTACCTTGTCAGGTTAATATTCAAATGTTGAAGTGAAGAAAATGATTTCTAAAGAGAAATGGTTCAACATTGTTCAATGTATTTTATCTGCAATTAAATGATATTGACTGGGAGTGTAAAGTGTCATTCCCAGTCAATTTGATAACTCTTTTCATTTCACTTTTGGCAAGAAGCTTGACTGATGAATCGACTCGAAAAGATACTTAGTTAAGGTTTGTGATTGCCCGATGGTTAATGATTTTCCCTGTTTTTTTTCCTTGGGCTTGCACTGGAATCAGTTCAATGGCGAAACTAGACAAAGAAAATGTTGTCAACAGTAAATGAAAAGTTTTTTCATGCTCACAGAATGGAAATGTAATAAAAAAAATTGTTGGAAATGCTTCTAATTGTTTGTGAAGCTGACTTTATTGGTGCTTCCTTATTGGGTTAATATTTTATCTTATATTGTGGCTGTGGTTAATAACACCATTTGATCATTATCAAGCTTTTATATCTCATCGTTATCAATACTAATGAGCGACGAAACATCTTAATGTTGCTGGAACCGGGAGAATCCCAAAAATAGATTAGACACACAAATGGACTTGAATGGAAATGAAAGAGATATAAAACGAAATTCACTAATTTGTTCAGAATTCCAAGTCGCCATATAATTGTTATTGCTATAATTATTAGGCGAGCATAAAATGGAGCGAAAAAGATGTTCTGGTGATTTGGAAAAGTTGAAGAAAATTATCTCTAGAATCTCAACTCTTTAATTTTCATGATGATTTCCGCGTAAATTGTGGTTCGATTGATTGTTGAGTCGATTGTGATTAAGTCTTTTGATAATCAATTGAAAGCAAAGAGAATCGATAAAGTTCAAGTTGAAAGATATGTTTAATGACGCTCTGTTTATCAGATGAAATGAATTGAAAGCAAGTTTGCATTTCAAGTCAAAATTAATTGTAAAATCAATCGACATTCGTTAATCATCAATGAATAGAGTGACTTTTCTCAAATGAACCAATGAAAGTTTGAAAATAGCCTTTGAAAAGGTTAAACTTGAGGTCAACTAAAGTTTAGGCAATTAAGCGTTTAACTTTATTCATTGGGTTTAATTGAACTTAAACATTGAACGACTGTTTGGGATTGTAATAGTTTAATGAAAATTGGTTGAATTACCTGCAATCAGTTCCATCTTTACATGGATTAATTCCTTTTGAGGGATCACATTTTGGCCCATATTGACAGTAACGTCCAAAGAAACCAGGAAAACAAGAACAATATTGTACCTTTGCGTCCTTTGAAGCAAAACATTGACCATTAAAGGAACATTTGTAAACTGAACAATAATCTGGTATAATTTTATGGGCAACTGTAAAGGAAACAATTGTAAAGGTTATGTTGAAGCCAAAAGCATCCAGAAACCAGTCCATGTTTCGAAGGTAAATGTTACGATCGTCTGTAATGTCCATTTCCAGGACAAGAACGGGTTTACTGGTTACCAGTGGCATTGGATCGCCTTCAATGAAGGAAGGTAAAAGGGAAGTTGATCCAGCATTTAAACTTGAATTGATGTAGAATGCATATTCGGTTGCTTTTAATCCTTCCTTCAGGTAAAACTGGGTCCAGTAAAGGGTAATTACGTTACCAATGGGAGCACGAATTATCCAACTACAATGAATTGGAATTGGAAATTGATGTGGAAAGTTGGGACTGGAAATGAATCCAGTCTCAATTTCATCATAAACAAAGGTACACTGATTGGTGTTGTGAGGAAAGGAATTGAATGGAATGCTTGAATAATGGGAATCACTTTGAAAATTATCTGATGACAAATTAATATTGCTCTTGTTCTTCCCAGGCAAAGGTAATTTCACAGTTGGATCAATTGAATTCTCAGATGAACTCAACAATGGACTGGAGATCAGCATAATAAACATGATAATTAAACCTGGTAAAATCCATTGAGCTGGAAAACTATGAAACTTTAAATTTTCCATTAATTCCTAGTTATCTTTCAAGCCTTTTCAAGCCTTTTATTCAATTAGAATGAAATTTTTGTATTCCAAATGGTAAACGTTTCAACAAATGAACACTTTTTCATTGAAACATGAACACGATGGAAAATTCACTCCAATGATCGATGATTCAGTTTTGGAATCGACACTGAAAATATTGAAATCTCATGAAATGTAATCACTTTGGCAGAAACAAAATGACAGAAAATATTGATTGTTGAGAGAAAAACTTTTCTCATTCATTTTTCTCAACTTTACATTGAGTTGACGAAAATTTCACTGTAAATTGTCCAACAATTTGACCAAATACTTACTTTTGTATAAAAGGCAAAAGATATTCAAAGAAGATTTGCTTCTTTTTTTGGTTAATCAAAAGTGTAATGGAAAGAAGCGAAATCGTTATTTAAGATGAATTAGGGTTGAGTTGAATGATGATGATGATGTTGCCGTTGCTTTTATTGTTGATAATATGATGATGGTTTGAACCATTTCAGGAATGGGCAGAAGAGGCAAATCTGATATTATTCACAAGACATTCTCTGATTATTATTGAATTGTTGTTTTTGCTTCACAAGAAAAGAGGATAATTTTTTGATGGTCAAAAGATGTAAGAGGAAGAGTGGAAGGAGGAAGATGAGGAGGAGATGGAAGCAAGTGAATAATGATTATGATGAAGAGTAAAAGTTGACCGTTTTTAAGTCAAATAATAACAAGTTATGGTTGACCGTTATGGGAACAAGCAACAACATTAACAAAAAAGCAGCTTCTTTATTCAATTTAATTGGTTGTTGGTTATTTTTTGTTGGTTTGGTTCAAAGTTAAAGTGTTCAAGTTGCTCTTGGAACGAGAAAAGAGAAGAAGAAAAAAGGAGAAAAATTATCCTGCAAAAAGAAGATGATTCTGAATGATTCAGATAAAGAGAGAAGGTTGATTGAGAGAAGAGAGCAAGAGAGAGAGATGATGATGGCGATGATTGGAGGCACATGAACAGGACTTGAAGGGAGTGAGAGGCTGTGTAGACGGTGCTGCTTCCAATGTTATCTTTGCGTCTATTTTGAGGCAAAGTGATGATGAAGAGGGAAACCTTTTCACTGGGAATGACTGGGAGTCAGCTACTGAGAATGGTTACAGTAGAGCATCTCAATGGCGTTTCTCATGCATTTAGCTTGCCATTTCTACTTTTACCAGTTTCTTTATTTTCTCAACATTTTTATTTTCACTTTCATTTCTTTTCCATTCACCCTTAACTCTAAATAATACTTTTATAGTTTTTTTTCTTGCTTTTTTGTGTTTGTTTCTTGTTGTTGGTTATTGGTAAGAATATCAAATCTGATTCTGAATTGAAGCTGAAATTGAAGCAAGGTTGATAGGAAGGAGAGAGAGTCTGTTGAGCCTTTAGTTTCAAATTCATTCCTCTTTATCATCATTATTCATTGCTTTTATTTCTAACTTTACTTCATTTAGCTTGATGTAATTTATGCTTAAACAAGTGCAGCTAACCAAGTTTATTATTGTGAATTAAGGTTCAAGCTTTTCATTAGTCTTTGCTAAAATATTGTATATTGTTTGGAAGTTTTGATTGGTAAGTTTTTCGTATAAAATGGAAATGCGCTTTTCGTCATTTATTGTTTATCATGTTCATCTTTTGTCAAGTTTGTGAAGTAAATGTTGTCTTAACTTTACTCAAAGTTGACCGGAACTGCTATTGGCTTGACTTTTCTTGCTTTAATTACTATTGAATCAACTTCATTTCATTTCTAAATAAGTTAAGAATGTTGTATAATTTGATACTCGCGCCCTTTCATAAGTGCTGTTACTAGCAACCGGGTTGCTAGCCATTGTTAATGTGGAAATACTCGGTATTTCCTTGTTTCTTTTTTATGTAAGATCCTGACTTTACATTTCCTTTTTGTATTGTATAAATAGTCTCATCTTTTGTATTATTAATTAAGTGACCTTTGATAGATTAAACGTTAAAGAATCAGATATCAACGTGTGTCGACTTCATTGTAATAGATTCTCGGAATCTACCCTTCAGTATTCCCGGAATACTCAGTGACCAACTAGGTTGGTGAAACCCTTTTGTAATACTCGGTATTACTTGTGATTAATTGTACTTGTGAGTACTTGTGAATAGTCTTGGACTATTACTGCTAGAAGTGACTAGCTTGTTCAGTTCTTAGTTCAACCCTGTTGAAATAATTGGAGAAATACTCAACCCGGTTGAGCCATACTGCTGTTGAAAGCTTCAGGGAAGCTCAGAGTGTGTAAGAAGAACTTGGAACCAGTAGTTACACAACATTTGGTGGAGATGCCCTTCGATTTGTGAGAATCTCGCTGTTGAGCTGTGTTTTTTTGGGGGTTTTTTGGTCTCTGTGTGGGGGGAGCTGGTGTTAATTGGTGTATAAGAATTCCTGGAATTCAAAATGTCTTCTGATAAAGACGGTATCCCTTCACTCGTACAACAAAGGCAACAACCCAAGACGATAACGATTTCGCCTGAGTTAGCTGAAAAGATTGATGCTTTGAAGCACAACAACAATATCTTTCAGAAGTCTTTGACTACGATGGAAAAGACTCAGCAGGAGACACAAAAGACTATGGGAGAAGTCTTGACGGCTTTGCAAGCTCAAGGTACGAATTTAGAAATTCTTATGAAAGATTTGGCTGATGTCAGGAAGACTCAGAATGATCATGTGAATATGATTCACGCTTTGAGAGTTGCTGAAAAGACGAGAAGTGATAAAGAGAAATTGCTTGAGAGCAATAAGTTGCGTGTTCAGGGAACACCAACATCGTCGAAAGAAACGACAGGTTTAGAGGATTCCTTGAATCCTACTGGAGAATCTGATTCTCAGTTACCTGGTAATAGAAGAATTCATTCCTTTCTGGATGAGTTTTCTACAACCGAGAATGGTGAAAGAGCTCGAGGTGCTCTAATGAAAGCAGTTCCTTTGCCTCATTTTCATGGTGAACATGAAAAGGCTGCTAGCTGGTTAAGGAGGTACGAAGAAGTTGCTGCTTTGAATTATTGGACGGAAGGTGAACTTATCAGAGGAGTTGGTGCCGCTATGAAAGATGAAGCATCAACGTGGTACTGGTACATTTATCTACCCAAGACTGCTGGAAAAGGTCAATCGTGGATGCAGTTTAAGCAACTGTTTCTAGCAACCTATGTTAAGGACGAGGATAGGCATGCGATATATCAAAAGTTAATGAACCGGGTTCATCTGAAGACTGAGCGATTATCTGCCTATTGGCATTCTGTCTTAGCATTGTGTATGGACTTTAATCCAGATATGACTGAAAGTGAGATTATTTCTCATACGCTGCGAGGTTTGGAACCTGCGATGAGAAGCACTTTTGCATCGTCTTTATATGGTAGAAGAACGCTGGAGGTATTAGAGCATTTGATTGGAATCAATGATTGTATTGCTAAAAAGTCTGAATTAGAGGTTGATTCGGAATCAACGCAAAAGGAAGAGATTGAAGAGACTGACAAGGTTAAAGTCTATAAACGAAGAGACCCTAGTACAGTTGTTTGTTATAATTGTATGAAAACTGGACATTTCATGAGCCATTGTCCTGATGTCTATGACGCTGCTAGAGTTAAAGCGAACCAGATGCAATTGAAGAATCAGCGCGAGGCTGTTGTGAATTCAGCTAACGTTGGAAGAGATGTTCGCGGAACATCAGATATTCAGGGAATATCAAATGATCATGATCAGGGATCATGGAGATTTACAAGTGGTGTTCTCGGAACATCGGATACTCAGGAAGTATCACATGGAGCTATTGAAGATGAAGCTGCGAGAAGTTTCAGAGAAGATTTGAGGATGTAACGTCGTAAGCTATTCGACCGGTGGTCTAGTGTCAGTCGGGGGGAATGTTGTATAATTTGATACTCGCGCCCTTTCATAAGTGCTGTTACTAGCAACCGGGTTGCTAGCCATTGTTAATGTGGAAATACTCGGTATTTCCTTGTTTCTTTTTTATGTAAGATCCTGACTTTACATTTCCTTTTTGTATTGTATAAATAGTCTCATCTTTTGTATTATTAATTAAGTGACCTTTGATAGATTAAACGTTAAAGAATCAGATATCAACGTGTGTCGACTTCATTGTAATAGATTCTCGGAATCTACCCTTCAGTATTCCCGGAATACTCAGTGACCAACTAGGTTGGTGAAACCCTTTTGTAATACTCGGTATTACTTGTGATTAATTGTACTTGTGAGTACTTGTGAATAGTCTTGGACTATTACTGCTAGAAGTGACTAGCTTGTTCAGTTCTTAGTTCAACCCTGTTGAAATAATTGGAGAAATACTCAACCCGGTTGAGCCATACTGCTGTTGAAAGCTTCAGGGAAGCTCAGAGTGTGTAAGAAGAACTTGGAACCAGTAGTTACACAACAAGAAGATGAAGGAATTCGAATCACGATCAGAAATTTCATTGTAGTAAGAATTCTCATTGACTATCATTAGTTGCTCGAAAGAAACACTTTTAATTTTAACAAGGAAAACATTTCCTCATGAACTGCTTTTAACACTCAACGAAGAGGCTTCGATGATTGAAAAAAGCCTTTTGTATTGGTTTGACAAAAGAATGAGAATAGCAACTAGAGTCAGCAATCCTGACCGATCATCCTCCCTTTCTATGATAAATTCAAGTTTAATTCAAGACTCAAACTCTGTATGCAAAAGAGTATTTCATTAGCATCATTAGTCCTGAAGCATTGGCATAAATATTCGTGCAAAAAAGACTAGTTTGATTTCCAATGTTTAATAATAGACTAATTAATGCTAAAATTCAATCCTGGTAATTTCTTATCAATGGAAGATAATTTGCTATCGAAATCACTAAAATTTATATTTGCAAATCAAGCCATATTCACGCAATCATGTCTAATTTGAACAACAAAACTGAACTCAATTGCCCACGCAGTGGATCTTGTCATTGATGTTGCTTTTGAATTTTAGTAGTCAGCTATTAGAGCTCGTTCTTAAGCCAAACGAACTGCAACTCAGCGAGAAAAAATTGAGCTCGCAGTAGTTTCGTACAAGTTTGCAAAACTGAAAAGGCAACTTATAAAACTGTAAAATGTTGCGCTAACCAGTGCAAAGCAAATATTAACCTTGCTCAACGAGAAATACCTTTTTGGAGTCTTCAATGCTATTCAAAAGTTTATTAAAAAGACTTGCTTTGCATTTGCAATCAGATATGTAATACTTCCCAAACTTCAACTTGAAACTGTTCATTCCACTTTTCCTCACTTGTTTGCGTTAGCCAAAAATTGATCTCGATTATTGCTTTCCAAACCTGATTGTTGTCCCAAAAACTGCAAGAAAAATAATCACAAAGAAAATCTATTTTGAGTTTTTTCCTCATAAAAATTCGAGGTCATTTCAATTCTGGATCTAATTATCTACATATTATGTAATCAATTACAGCATAAAGAAATGAATTTTATTGAACTTTTTAAACATGTTAATGCTATTAGTAGAAAGCTGACAATTACAACGAATCAGATAAATTATTTGATCTGACTTTGATTCTCGATTTAACCTGAGCTTTTGTCTAAACTAAACTGATGATTACAATAATTACAAAATGAGATTCGTTTTATCACTTTTAAAACTTTAATAAGTGTCAATCAATGTATAAAAATGAAAGAAAACAATCATCACATTTCGACAAAGACTTTCAGGATCATCATGATTATCATCATTATCTGTTGAAAAGGCTCAAGGTCTCAACGACAATAAAAAAAGATTCAAAAAATGAATGCAAAAATTCCTACTTTTTACGCAAAAAGTTGCATTCAAAAACTCAAAGGCAATTGAAACATGAAAACAGATTTCAATCTTTCTTCCGATTCCAATGTAAATTTAATTGATCAATGACAACTAAATAAATCACATTTAGTGATTCATTCACGAACCAAGGAAAAAGTTGAACAAATGAAGGAAAACAAGTTGATATTGATAAATGTAAATCAAGCAAATTGAATCAAGGTTTAGTTTCATTCAACTTTAATGTTATTGAGACGCTTAAATCAAGGAGCATCAAAATGAGTAAACCGAATAAATCATTGGAAAATAAGAATTAAGAAGAAAAATAAATTCCAAAGATTTTCATGAAAACAGTTCGAGAAGCTGATTAGAAGAGTATTTCGAGTAAACGATCCCAAGGAGATCGTCGAGTTGAAGGATTGAAACAATTGTAAGAACCAAAAGGATAACAGGTTGATATTGAACCTTCATTAGCTTTCATATTCATCATGAAATTCATCGTCATATTCATCATTATCATCTTAATTCTCACTCATTCTCTGTGTTTTGTCAATTGTCACAATTGTCAGGGAAATTTTGCTTTTCTCGTTTTGTTGTTCAAAACATAATTCAAGTTTTCAAGTGAAAAGTTTCTTGTTTCTCACTTTATCCGTCAAAATTTAACATGTTAAGATTCATGATTTCTCTGATTGTTTGAACATTTGCTGGAACAGTTTACTTTTGATTTATCATTCGTTTCTGTTTAGTTCATTGCTACCTTTCACTAGTGATGCCTTTCCTGTAAATTCACTAATTAGTTTAGTAATTGCAATTTTCACCTCAAACATTAATCTTCTTCTTTAATTTAAACTCAATCAATCTTCAGTTTTTGCATCTTCTTGCGATTCCATCTTCTCATCTTAATTGTTTCATTCACCTTTAACGTATTGCACCAATCAAAAAGACTTGTAACTTATTTTCATTTCAACATTGAGTGATCTATGATGATGACCATTACAAGTATACTTTCTTGGACTTCAACTTTGATCAACTTCTACCTTTACTCAGCATTAAGTATCATCATTACAGCCTGGTTAGGTCTTGATTTTGGCTTGTCAAGGCTCTATGTCAATATATTGGAGAAACTATTCCATGTAAGTCACTCAAAACTGACTAACTTTTGCTAACAAATCTGAGAGTCGAAGAGAACTCGACATTAAAATCGTTTATTTCAATGCACTTTTCACTACATTTTACGTTATCGATCAAAACCTTAACAAAAATTCATGCCAATCATTGAAATCATCACAATAATAGTTCGAAATCTGATGAGAGTTTCCTAAACAACTACATGAAAACGAAACTTGAAGCTTTCAAAATATTGCAATTTATAAAGTCTAATCAAGCGATTTGCGTCTTTAAAACTCAGTATCTGCAAGATGCTTTTCAAGCTTCGTTGTCGTCTTAATTTTCACGACTTTACTCTTTCACTGTCTTCAGCGCTGTCTTCAAGTTTTGCCGATGTTTCTAGCCTTTGCTTACTTCTCTTGAGTTAAAACTTTGTATGCATTTTTCAAGTTTATTCATTTTTAATGAAAATTTTATTGCAGCAATCGAAATATTTAGTTTTTAAAATTGACAATAAGTGTCAAGTTTTAATGCAGCAAGACTTCAAATCGTTCATAGTAACTGAGATGAGACTTTCTATTATATTTACATAGAAATGTGAATCATTTTGAAGCATTCACCTCGAAATAGGCGTCAAAAAACACATGTTAAAGTAACTCTGTATTTAGATCTAAATTTAGCCAATCTTTTACCCAAATCTCTTCATCCAGTGAAATGCAATTCGAGTAAAGTGAAACTTTTATTAAGATGAAATCAATTTTAGTCAGTCAAGTTGAAATTGGGCAGCTTATGGTTTACCCAAATAATGAAAAAAGCTTTATCTTGACCAACATTGAGCATACAGATTTTTCAATTCCATCAACAATGATTGAAATGAGAGTAGCAAATCAATGAGTGAAGTAAAAAAAAGTTTAAACAGATTTATCTTGACATTGAATTTGATGCACATTTTCAAGTTCATTTCAGTTGTTATCAAGCTAAAGGTTGAAAGGATGGTCAAAGCTGAAAGAAAAGGCTAACATTTATTTCACTCAAACTGTTTGTTCACTGATAATAATATTTTAATATTCTTGAACCGTTTTCAGTTACTTATATCAAAATCTCAATTTTTATCATATTATTGATTCCATATCAAAATTGTTGGTTTCCAATGAAAAATATTGTTTAAACAATTTCATGTCGTTCTTTGTCCTTTTCTGATCTCTTTTTCATTTTTATGGTCAACTTATCGCATTGACAAACAATCAAATCTTTTCACATAAAATTGAACTTTTTTTCTGTCATTTCTGTTTTTCCTCTGAATAATAGTTTTCAACTCTTTCAGTGAAAGTTAACTAAATGCAAAGGGTAAAATTCAATAATCAATAATCAAAGTAAAAGAACTCGAAAGAATCACTTTTCATTGTTCTTTGCTTGTTCAAAATCAGATAAAAGATTCCAAAGAATTGATCATAAATTCAAGATTTTTTTCTTCTTTTCTGTTTTCCTTTTTACTAGAAAAAGTTAAAAGGTCAACTCGATCAAAAGTTTCAATTCTCAAATGTAATTGATAATAAAGTCGAAAGTAAAGAGAATAATTTATTTCCATTTTATATTGAATATATTTTGCTGTTTGTCAGATTAAACAAGGTTAAGCTTCTTAGTTTTCCATGATTTTACTCAGTTCATGAGATTTAAACTTGAATCGAAATGATTAAATGAAATAAGGAAACAAATACAAAGAAATCACATTTGATTCCATAATCTTAAAGGTTGTCCAGTTGAAGAAGAGAGCAAAGATGAATTAAAATTGAACACAAGTTCAAGATTGATCAGAATTGATAAGACTAAAGTTCCATTGATGCATTTGCTGAATAATCTCGCGTGTTTGGAACTTCAATAAATATCATTTTACTGAAAAGTCTTTGTAAATGTTTTTCCTTGCCTCTTCTTTCATTCCTCAACAATTTGTACATTTCATGGTAATATCACGTTACACATCGTGGTCATGGCTTTTAACCATGAAACGGTGAGCTTACGATGAACAATAAAAAGAAGCTCAAGATGATGAGAAAAGAGGAAAAAAGAAAAATGAAATTTTCTTTTTGCTGCGAAAAAAAAGATTAAAGTTCCTCTGATGAACCAAAAATTAACATTTCCAACAAAGTTTCATCTGAACTCAGCTGATAACCCATGAATATATACATGCTTTGCACTTGGAATGGAGGCAACAAAATGAAATTTTGTTTAAACTTTTTTTTCTCTTCAACTTTTTTTTTTATTTTTCTTTGCATGAATCAACATTTTCTTTCTGAACTTCAGACTGGAAAATTAGGAAATGCAAAAATTGAGTAAAATGGTTGAAATAGTTTCAATGAAACCAGAGATGAAATAATAATGATATTAATAATGAAAAAGAGGTTGAGGTGAGACAAGGTAAAAGTTCATGTAACTGAATATGAAAAACGTGAAAAGTTTTTTTCATTCGAACTTAAACTTTTTTTTGTTCTTCCATTTTTTCATGGAAATCAAGAGACAAAGTTTCCAGCTTTTCATCAATTGCTTGACGTTGGAAGAAATTTTGCATCGAATTCTCAAAGAACTTTTTTAGTTTCGAAAATTTCGAGTTTTCTTTTGATTCTTGTTGGGGAAGTTTGTGAAAACTCTGATTATTCAATTTTCGATGTTGACTCAATTATGTTTATTGATTCGACGTAAGTGAATGAAGGGTTAGAGTGATGAATGTTGCTTGGATCTGAGTTTAAAAACGGAACTTGAAGTGGATTGAGAGTGAATTGAATCAATCATATGAACTAATACACAAGGAAATTGATTTTTTTTCTGTCCGTGTTTTTGTTCCTCATTGGGTTAAAGTTGAAATGAACTTTTCTCATTGAGATTTTCTTCTTCTTCTTGTTCTTGTTTCTGTCAGACTTTATGTCTTCTTTGGTGTGATGATGATCATGATGATGATGGTAATGATGATACAAAAAGCGTTTTCAATTCATCACTTTCAGATTGAAATTCATTGGTATGACTCTTTTTTTTACTCTGCATTTAAATTCATCTCATGAAACTGCAAAGTTGTGTGTCTTGTTGTTGCTTCTCATGTTGGATGTTTCTTTAAATCTTGATATTTTCATCATCTTCATGAGGCTCATCGTGAACAGGCTGGGAATGATAAAGGAAATGAATATCTTGTGTTGTAAATATATTTGCAAGAGAAAAGGAAAACAGAAAAATTTATAAATTCTGTTGCTGAATAAGAAATGAATAACAGATTAAACTGTTTTTGTTGTTTTTTTTTGCTTTCTCTTCTGTTCACTTCTTTACAGCTTTTTAGTTTTGTCTGTTTTCAGCTATTTTTAAATTCACAATTGAAATTGATGAGAAAAGCAGAGAAGAGAAAAAAATTGGAGAACAGAATTTGCTTTCACCAAAATTGATAAAAATTCAGAGTGCATTGAATAAAGGGTTGAGAAAAAAAAAGTTGAACAATTTGTTGACTTGCATGCTTATTAATATTAAAAATTTACTTTTTTTGTAACTTGAATTTCGCTCTCTATTGTACAGTTTATCAAGAAAAATGAATCACTATTTTTAAAGTCATGTGATAATGTGACTAGCAATGGGCAAAGTGATCCAGCTGTTGATAAAATAAATGGTTATACCAAGCATGAGATTGATCAATGTTTTACAGCAGAAGGTAAATATTAACTCTTTTGTTGCTTGTTTATTTGGCTAATTGTTGGTTTATTCATTTATTTATTTATCTATTAAGTGCCTGAATCTTGGAATCTGTTGACACCAACATGGAAACCCCGTGACTCAGAAGATACAGTTTATGAGGTAACTCGCTTGGGTAAACTTGTGTACTTTGCTGGTCTCGTTTTCAGGTTTGGTTTGATTTTCCCAATACGTTTGGTAATTTTTGTCTACAATTTGGTTCACATTATATCGGCGCTATTTGTCTTGACCTTTGTGCTTCCACCGGGTAAACTTCGTAATGCTTATTACCGATTTATGTGGAAAGTTACCTTTAGATGTGCAACTCAAAATTTTGGTGGTTTATTTAGATATCATGGTACAGATTATTGCTTTAAAGGTAAGATACATTTCACTGGATCAATGAACTTTACTTAATGTCTAGTGTTTATATTATCTTTTGTTTCTCTTTCCTTTAGCTGGCGGCGTTGCCGTTTCAAATCATACTGGACCTTTGGATATTGTCTGTTTGGCTGACCATGTAAGGTACAGTTTCTTGGGCCGTCAACGTAATGGTTTACTTGGATATGTTTATAAAGCCATTGAGGTTTGTGGTGCAAATATTTGGTTCGAAATGAAGGATAAGGAAATAATCAAGGACCGTCTTCAGGCTAGAGCTTCTGATCCTTCAAGTTATCCTTTGGTTATTTTTCCTGAAGGAACTTGTACAACAACTGATAGAATCTTAAGATTTAGAAAAGGCTCCTTCGAACTGGATTGTTCAGTTTATCCCATCGCAATCAAGGTAAAATTTATTTTCTCTTTTTATGCTCAATTTAAATTTTAATTCTAATTTTAAAGGCAAAAAGGTTGCTTCAAATGTTTAAGCTGTTTTGAAATTAATTTTCACTGCAGAGCTTAATTAGGTAACAGCCCCTCACAGTTTGGGCGCTTTTTTTACTTTTGGATTTTATCGTCTGCTTTGCTCTATTTTAAATGTCTTTTTCAAGGTTAGTCCGGACAAAGTTCATGGCTTTTTTACTGTTTTATAATTTACATTCATCAGTAATTAATTATAAATCTGTTAAAATGTCAACTAGACTGTAATTTGTTCAAAGTATTACACGTATTTGTAATTATTGAACATGCTTAAACATGTCCACTTGGTGTTACCTGTAACTTGTGATTTTAATGTTAAATTCAAACAGTATAATCTACTCTTTGGCTAAATCAATGTTTATTCAACATCAATTTTTGTGGATAATTAATGGCTCACTTTGAAATCAGCTTTATTAACTGATAAAAGACTAATTAATTGACCTTGATTGGCTCAAGATGACCTTCTATTTCACTAAAGATATGGGTACAAATGGACGCTTTATCCAGATGCAGCTGAAAGCTCCAAATATAAGCTTTTTAAACGGATTTTAACGCTTAAACTGTATCGGTGATTTATTAATGAATACGGACTAATAGTACATTTATCGCTTCAATGTCAACGTTTTTCAGACCCGATTTCATACGAATGCGACTTCTTGGTATGCTGTGTATTGATTTTTGATTCTGTCTGTGTCATTATAAAACTTATGTCTTGTCATTTCTTTAAGAAATATGAAACTTCAGCCATGTCAGAGCAATTACTCTTTTACTCTCTTATTTATTATATACTTATTGATATTTGATTAACTTTCTCTGGTACAGCTAATAGTAAAACTGTTTGTTTGTTTGTTTTCTGTTCCCCTCTTGTGATTCAGTAAACTTGATAGTTTTTATTTATATTTGTCCAATGATGAAGATAGATTGATACAGTTTTTAATGAGTCAACTGTTCAACTGTATCTTATTAAAGTTTATCTACAATATTATCCAATATCCAATCCAGATATATTATCAGCAATAACTTACAACAAGAAACTGAACATGAACTGAGAAAATAATTGATGAAAATTGAACCCAAAAATTTAATTAACCAACCCAAGTTAATCAATAATAGCTAATTGAGAGAGTAAAAGAGTAATTCAAAATGTCCACAACCAACCAAATAAAGTCGATAGATTTAGGTGCTACAATTGTAGCTTCAATTCACCAAGAATATCCATTTTGACCTTTAAAAGTTTCAATTTTCTTTGAAAGAAATGTATTTTAATTTCCTTCCCTGAATCCTGACAATTTGTAAAGTGTCAGTAAATTTCGCAACTCGATTTAGATTGAGATAAATGCGATGATTTAGCCTGGTGATACTTGAAAACGTTTGATATGATTGATGGTAAAAAGGATCAAACTAAGCTTTAAGCATCTTTTAGATCCCTTTTGTTTTGTTCAAAAAGACACTTTAGGAAGCAAATTTTGGTTCCCTTCACCTCTCAGTCTTGAGTCATTTCATTTATTGAATCTTGTCATTTTTGTCTGAAAAACTGTTGCTTGAAAATCTAATTGAATCTGTTCTAATAGTTGTTTCCTAACTTTCATCGTGTCTTTCATGTTTCTACTTCAGTCTTTGGTCAAATCTTTTCGTTAACATCTCCATCATTATTGTCATCATCAGTTTTTTTTTCATTTCATCTTCATATTTCTCTTATTATCATCTCTTACCTTTCCCGGTCTACTCCCAATAGGGATTGAGTGTTGAAAAAATGTTCAGAATTATTTTTTTTTCTCTCTCTCCTCATCTCTTATTATCAAGATATAAAAAACTAATATATTTTTTCTCTTCTCATTATTAGTATTAACTTGATAGTGATTTTTGATCAGCTTTCTCAAGAGATACACTCACATGCACTTATACAAACAAAGGAGATGCGACAATGGAAAGTGTAATCAACGGAAAGGGAAAAAAAGTAAAGCAAATGGACAAATCTGATGTTAAATCTTGTCAATAAATCAAACATTTTGTGGACGATTTAAGCTTTACCGTTGCTCTTCATTTTGTTACCACTTTTGTTTGCCATTGTGTTGTTATGAACACGTATTAATGACTGGGAAACAAAACAACATCAACAACTAAAACTGAAAGAGATGAACAAAAAAAAGCTCAGCTAAATAATGATAGGATTAAGCTCATGAAGCTATTATATTATTATCGTATTATATTTTTAGTATATATCTGTCAAAAGTTTCATGTCTTTATCCTTTTCCCTGAGCTTGTTTTTTTTCCTCTTCATAATAATATTGTGTACCTCAAAATTGTCCAAATTAGTAGTTACCCATTGACTCTGGCAACTTGTCAAAAATAAGAGATTGAGGTCATTTTTTGTCTTGCCTCGTCTGTTCTTGACCGACTCTTGTTGCCCAACATTCAATGGATTCAATTTAGCTCTTGTTCAGTGTCTATTGAGTCTACAATTCAACTCTAAATTGTTGCCTTCATTTGGTTTCTGGTTAACTCAAGTCTCATTTTTTGCCTCATTTTAAGTTTTTAATGTTCAGGCTCAACCAGTTGTACAGAATTGATTTGTAACTTATTTGTTACTTGACTGTTTAATTTACTCTGACTTTTATATACTTGACAGTGTTTAACTTTATTGCACAAAAGATACACCTTCAGGATATAAACTGATTACAATAGATTTGAACAAATGAGTTTCTCATTTTGTCTTCAAAATGATATCTGTCCGATTCAATATTATTTTGACGAAAAATTCATTGAGTTGTCTTTTTTGTTGTTGTATGTCAACTGTTGAAGCCATGAACAAGAGAAAAGTCAATTGGAGAAAAAAAGAAACTCGAAAAAAAGGAAAAATGTTTTTAGCTTCTTTAGGGTAAATTGCAAGCTATTCACTTCTCCTAATGATAATCATTCTTATATTGTCATTCATCCATTTCTCATAACTTGATGCATAATTGTAAATTAAATTGCAACTTGAATTTACCCTGAAGATAGTCATGATTTTACTCGAATATTGTCAAATATCTGAAAATGAACTGATCACTTTTACTGCGTGTTTTGGTTCCTAAATTTTGCTCTACCGCTGCTATTGATTGATTGATTACTTTTTAAATATAATTACAGTTAATACCTGTAATCAAAATCATAATAATAATAGTTTTTTGCCGTATTACATGAAAGTAAAAGTGCAACATTGAGAGTTTTTGCTTTGATCAGATTAACTTTCCCTTGATGCTTGATTTTTGTTCATTTCTTTCCACTTGTCACATAACAATATTATTATTACAATTATTATTATCATTATTTTCATTCTCATTATTAGAATTGATTTCTATCTTTACTTTTCACCATTTAATCAGTTGTCTTGTTATTGCCATTGTCCCAAAATTGAAGGAGAAGCCGAAAGATTGGAGTGAAATGTTAAGAGCCAAATCCTTTTATACTTGATAAATATTAATCTGTATGCGAATCAATTCTGATCAATGAACCTTAAACTCATCAGGTTTCTTCATCTTTCTCTGTATCATCATTAGCCTCTTAATTTTTCATCTCATTCAGCAATTGAAAAACATTCTCATCTGAATTGTCTTTTTTTCTTTCTCTTTTAGTTATTTTGTGAAGAAAAGTGTTTAATATCCAATTAAGAATCAAGAATGGAAATTATTTCCACCAGAAAACCATAAATTGATTATTACGATGATGATGATGATGGCAATGATCATGATGACGGAGACGATGAAAATTTACTTTTGGACCAATGAATTTTTACGCTTGTGTAACATCAGAATGCAAATTGTTTTATATTGAAATGAATTTGCAGTTTTCATGAAACAGTATTGGAGAAAGAATGAAGAAAAAGGAAAAAAGCCAATTTAATCAACTTTATTAAAAGTTATCAAGCTGATATCAAGATGATTCATATAAAAAAAGATGCGATTTAAGCAGCCATTTTATGCTGCCATGGTTGAGGGAAATGTAATGATTAAGTTAACTGTTGGCTTTGACTGAGGTGAAACTTGACTTGCATTGTCAAACATTTTCACACTCACATGGTAAACTTCAATAGATCAATGGCCAGTCTCTTTGGTAAAACAAAAGCCAAAGAAGCACCAAATTTGCTGACCTGATAGTAATGATAATTCATCTGACTATCATTTTTACCATGATCGCCCTTCATCAGTTGAACCTCTCGAGTTTGTCGTAACTTATGATAATGATGTTGATAAAAGGAGAAAAAATTAGGTGTCTTTTTTCACACTCAATCGACCGCATCATCTATTGCCTCTTCATCATCATCATCTTCCTTCAACGTAATACTTTTATAAAACTAAAAGAAAGTCTTGTAATGTTGATTTTCATTAACCTCGCCTTTTCTGAGTGTTACAATGTTCCTTAGCGTTTATTATGGGTGAAAAAAATCGTTGAGCATTTTTTACTTTTTATTATCATCACAACAGTTAGGATAAAATAATGTTTTCAGACAATAAAATGTGTAAAATGCAATTACACTTTTCCTCTTTTGTTGTGATATTAGCTGCAAAAAGAATGGGAAAAAAAGGAGAAGAAAAATTGGATAAAATCTGTAAAATAACCTTTTTTTTGCTTTCAACCTCAATTTCATTTTCATTCTAGATTCCTACACATCTTTGACATGATACATGAACCATGAACTTTGTCCAACACACAACACTTCATTCCTTTTAATCTCGTGTTAAATCTTTCAATTTGTTTTAATAATTTTATCTCCAAGTTAAATTATTAATACAATGTTTTGCCTTCAACCTACAATGGTTGATGAACAGTGAACTCGCACTGACTTTACCAATCAACTATTAATTAATTGTCTTTAATGACTTTTATACAAATGAGACTCATTTTATTAAACTTTTTACAATCAAATGTTTAGTCTGAAATCAGAGAAACCAGACTAAATGAATGAACAGTTTCAACTTTTTGCTTAACATTGACCTTTTTTGCTCTCCTAACATTTTACTCAATCATTTTCAATTCATTTAACTTGAATGAACACGAAACAATTTATATTAATCACAATTTTACTTTTCTGTCTTTCTTTTCTTTCTTTTTCTATCTTGCTCAGTATGACTTGAGATTCGGCAATCCATTTTGGAACAGCAAAACCATTGGATTTCTTGGTATTTGTGTTAAATTTTTCACTAATTGGGCCATTATTGCTGATGTTCATTATCTGGCTCCAGTTCATAGAAAGGTAATTATCAATGGTTCAATCAATATGGACAAATTGTAATTTAATTCTCAATTGTTCTTCTCTTCTTGATTCAGGATTCAGAGACTGCTGTTGAATTTTCTGAGCGAGTTAGAGGATTGATTGCTGATAAAATTGGATTGAAAAAGATTGATCTTGATGGTTATAAAGTTAAATATTCAGTTGAAGAGACAACAAGCAAGTTAAAACAAGAAAAGGAATTAGTTGTAAAGGATAAAATTGAAAGAAAAACATTTTCACAAATTGCTAATCAATCATTCAATTTTGGTTCCAATGGTGATTTGCTTACTCGCTCATATTGATTCATCATTTTCACCATTTACCATCTCATTGTTCAACTAATTAAATTATCGTCAATTTGAATGAACCCAAATGGAGATATTTGTTTTTCCTTGTTGCTCTTCTGGTTAAATCTGCTGAATTTGATATATTTTTTTATACCAGCAAAAACACTCAATGAAAAAGTCAACCCTGAAATTGGATCAACCTCACATTTTACAAGAATTTTTACAAGATATTTTACCAAATTTTATGAAACATGAAACTGAAATAGTCAAGTCAAATAATGAATCTGTCCAGCTGTAAATGTAATTTATCGTTTATGGAAAAAATGTACTCTTTATCGTCTTTTCTGTGGTTATTAAGCGTTAAATAAAGGACAACAAATTGTGATACAAACTAACGATTATGAATACGATCATTTATGTTCCTTTATCAATTTTGTACCAACAATTAGACATTAATTTGATTTATTTCAATGGTAAATCACAAACAAATGATGCTCGTTTGCTCCATTTACCTGGAATTTAGTTACAAAAACTCAATTCTCCATTAAACCAACAATTAAGATGACTTGATAAGCTTACATAAACTGTTGGCATAAACTTAAATTACAATTGAAGCTGAATGGAGTAAATTATGGTTACATTTTGAAGTTGTTTCACCAATTTTAAGATTAATTTTAAATTTCACTTTCCATGTTCAGATTTGGATATTAAATTGTTATTTCAATTGATTAATGAAGATGAGACCAAATTAGCAAATGAATCCCACTTTGACTTCAAAGAAGCAACAATTTTGTCGGAATGATCGGAAATAACAGTCAACAAATCTTAATCAGTTTGGTGTACAAATTGTAATTAAAACATTACCAATTCAGAAGCTGATTTGTTAATGTCAATCAAGATTAGAAATGAAACATTCATGATTTGGTTCTGATAAACATTTTACTTGGATAACATTAGGTGAAACTTTTATTGTCTAATAAATTAGCAATACTAATTAAAGTGAACAGTTAAACCAAGTTGAAAAGTAAAATTGATTTACAATAAAAACAAAACTAAAATCAGAATGCATCAGATGGTCAGGTTTAGAACAATTTTTCACCATTTCTATCCTCTTCTTTACTCTTATTTTTACTCCCAATTCATCTCATCATCATCACCATTATAGTCATCATCATTATAATCAACATCATTATCAGCATGATCACGATTCCTGATGAAACGATAGCTACTTTTTTAGATTGAAGGAGAAACAAAAAAAGAGTAAACTTGTGATAATAATGTTGTTCCTTTGTGAATTTTATATTAAATTGAAGTGAAAATTGAGCCAATTTTTATACTTTTATTGTCAGTTTAATTTGCTTTTTTATTTCTCTTCAAATGTTGCTGTCTTTTCACTTTTAGAATGAAAATGTTGATAGGAAAATGTTCATCTTATCAAAAAAAACCTCACATGATATCATTTCTTCATTTCCATCATTCTTTAATAGTAATTATATTTCTCTACTCTTCGTCATTTTTTGTCTTGCTTTTCATTTCCAAGCTCATCAAAACAAAAATACCTTTCAACTAGACGCTATTATTACCATGATTAGTAAATAAAATGATAATCAAATCATATTTGTTGTATAATCTAGACAATCGAAGGTAAATAACATTAAAGTTGCTATTCAATTCGCATTTTGCTGCTTCTTTCAAATTATTTTTGTTTCACTGAATTTTCAACTCTTTTTTTCATCTCTACTTCAACTTGATCATTAAATTGTCTTGTCAAAAATCATGATTATAATGATAGTTACAGGAAAACTGATGCCTTTAACTTGATTAACATTTTTTTTTCTTCAATTCTGTTAATCGAGAAATGAACTTTTTTCTTCTTCTCTTGTTTATTGCAAACAAATTTGATTGATTTGCTGAACATTGTTTAATGATGGCCAACAGTTTCATCTTGTCTTTCATTCCTAATGATATTGAGTGATTAAAAGATGCACAAAAATATAAAATTTGATCAAGATGAATGAAATTTGCTTGTTCACCATTTAATGATTGATTACACTTTCATTGCTCCAAATCTACAATCTTAATCATTACAAAATTTAATGCATTAATAGTATTAAAAGTTAGTGTCAACTCGCTTCTTTTTGCCTGGTTAATGATGTTTATATGGTTAATGGCTGTTTCAAAATAATCTTGGCTTTTCTGTGATAATTTAATTTCTAGTTGCACTTGATCGGACAAGTTGAATTGTTATTCAGTTGGCGATTTAAAAGAGAGTCAAATTTAACTTTGAGATTTGTCTTTTTGATTAATGATCATTTCTTGATTTAATCAACAAATTGATGTTCTGTGGTTCCGTTTAACTGTTGTTTAACCTTTTTTTGTATATAAACTTATGGTTTATATTTTCGGGTTGTAATTACATGAGTTGAAACATTTAATTTACTCCTTTTAGTTGGAGTAAATTGCTTCAATATCTTGGGTAAACTTCATTAGACTGGTCAATTTGAGATAGTTTGTCATTTTGTGTGGCATTGAATTGAAAATTTTGATTCTTTTGCTTTATATTTGTTTTCATTTTGTTAAAATAATTGTTACAATTTTTACATGGTTAGTTGATATAAATAGGACAGTTTAATAACATCTTCAACGACAAAAATGCATCGCTTTTTTGTTTCCATAAAATTGCAAAAAGTGACTTCTCTTTTTTGCTTGAAATAAAAGTGATATTTTGGAACAATTCTGGATGAAAATGGTAACACAGTTGATTAAAAAGTTGATTGATGGTTGCATTTGTTTGACGAGATAATGTTGATATCACAATGTAAAATTGCTTCAAGGGGAAAAATTACAATTTAAGATGATTGAGCTCATCTTTTTAACAATAAAAGACAAAAATATGACTATTTTCAACTTTCAATTTGACTATTTGGAATGAAAATTGAAGTTTTAAAGACTGGACTAAGATCATGGAGATTGAAAATGAAGCTGCCATGTGATGAAAGGATGGAGCAGAAAAAGAAATGGTCAAGTTGATTCAGTTTAGATAGTTTGTAATCTGTTTGAGAAAGGATCACAAAAAATGATGCTAAAGATGAGATGAGATTTTGATTATTGGACAAATTTCATTTCTCGCCATCTTTCAACTTGCTTGGCTTTCTGAGTTGCTGTATTTTGTTTCAGTATTTATCAGCTCATTTTGTTTGTTTCACTTGATCCTTTTAACTGAAACATTTCTCTCTTCCATTCTTTGGATATGTAAGTGTAATTGAGCAAATATCATTTTGAAATATTTCAACAATTGAAGGATAATAAAAAGAAGAAGCTTTCAAGCCAGGAATAGAGAGTGAAAGTTAGCAAACTGTCAAAACAGGACGATACCAGACGATGATTGATGTGATCACTAAATGTTATTACTTGACTTTATCTTTTTTCCTCTGTGTGATTATGCGGCTGATAGACTCTTTTTTGATACTTTTTTTCGTATATTGATAGTTTGTCCTTTGAAAAATGTATAAATCCGTTCAATGTGAATTGAATGCAAGTCAACTGTAGTCAACTATCAGTTGATGGAGTATAAAGTGCATTGATAAGCTATTTTAAATACAGCAACACTGTTCTTCCAATAGATCAGCATTCAGTGACAGCAGCAAAGATAATTATGCAAGATTGGAAAAGATGGTCACAGATTTGTTTTACAAACGACTACCAGTTTAGTTGATATTTTTCACAAGTTTGACCAGAATAAGTTACGAGAGCAAAAAACGTTATTAAAGAGAAAGGATTGGAGAGACATCAGCAGTAGTCATGAACAATCTGTCAAAAAATCTGTTTAACTCGAGTTTCTGTTGATCAGTTTCTTTACTTCATCTTTTTCTCTGCTTTCCAAAAGTTGACCATTTGACTAGAACTCTAGGTTTTCAATTTGTTGATGACCAGTTTTCCCTTCTTCCTGGAGTTGACTTTTCACTGAAATATTGCATCTGGGTTGAATTAAAGGCAGTGAGTATTGTGAACAAAAAAATGGTCATCAACATGATGAGATGAGTTTTATAAAAAGGTCATTTTGGTTAACGAGGTTAGCATTTTCTCCATCACTTTTTTTCCCTTGATCCATCTCTTTAGTTGATTTGGCTGTTGGATGTGTTTTTTTCACTACCAACTATTTATTTTTGAGATGCTGGTGATGAAAATGATTATCATCAGTTGAATGGTTTACTCTGATTATAGATATTACCTGAGATATAGGTCTTCAGGTTGCAATTCTCAGAATGTTCGTTATGATTGGCTCTTTGGTTTCTAAGTATTTCCATTTACTTTTTTTCTTCTTAAATATATTACAATCTCTCTCGCGTTTTGATTGCGTATAACATTTTTTTTGTTTATACAGATGCTCTGTTCTCCTTGTGCCACGAAAAAAGTAGTTGAACTTTAGGTCCATACGGTTAAAGGCACAAGAGAAGCTTTGGATGCTGCACTTGGTTCGAGATTTTCATCTTTCAAAAAATTTAAAGGAAAACAGACTAAATGTCCTTTAATTTGGCCAATCTTTACCCTTGCCAGGTCAACATCAGTGTCAACTAGCCATGCTTTTGATTTTCGTTGCCTTAATTGTTCATAATTATAAACTTCATCGGACGGAATAACACCAAATACTTCATCATAAATTTTGGTATTAGATTGAGCTATTTTGAGCCAAGTATCAAAGTAAAATGCATCAGAAATTGGATCTCGAACATCGATTCGGGAAGATTTAGAGCCACTTTTAGTTTGAAGTGAACCAAGATGCTCACGAAAGAGATAACGCCGAAGTGATCCGATGAATTTACCACATTGATAGGGTTCGCCGTTCATTAGACCGTCTTCCATCTCAGTATCACGGATGACACAAGCAACTTCACTATCTCTTGATCCTGTTAAACTTCTGTCATTGATGTTAGACGATCCAATGAGCGCAACTCGATCATCTGCTAATATAATTTTACTGTGCACATAAACTAGTTCGGTAACTGGTTTATCATTGAGCTCGCCATGATTGCGAAGAGAAAAAAAGGAAATATATTTGGTTATATCACCAATTTCTCGTTGAAGTCTTTGTAGAAGTGCATCATTTCCTCTACAAATTGATTTGAGATTCCAATGTGTAATTATTTCCAAATTAGCTCCTGTTGATGTACCAAGTTCCCCTTCAAAGGCTGGCAACAGTGGGATAATGATGTAAACTCGAAAAGTTTCATTGGCTCGATAAGCTCTGATTATTCGGCGAACAATGGCTTCACCAACTTCATTAACAACTTCTCTGGGATATTTTTTAAGTCCACCAGATCTAGTGATGAAAAATTGATTCTCAATGTAAATGTAATGACGAGAATTGTCAATAATGTCTATGTAGGCCTCGTAGATTGATGATTCAGTGAATTTGGTTCCAGTTGACCAATCCGAGACACTTCTGACCAATTGGCATTCAGCTCGGAAAGATGATCTATTAGGTTGATCATTATTTAATTTTTTATCGGATGATGGTAATGATTCTGCACCATTAGTAGATTTGGGACACAACCAGTCATATTTGGAATGAAATTGAGCCTTTTGGCATTTAGTAAAGTTCCAACGTTCAATAAAATGTCTGGCAACGTCTTTAGCAGCATTACCTTCAACCATCATGCCAACATCATGCCAAGGCATTCTAACAATTTTACGTCGATCAATACTATCCTCAAAGGGTCGATTAAAATCACATGGATCTTTGGCAATAAAATTACAATAATCTTTACCAATCCATAATTTGTTTCCTCCAGATAAATCGGTCAAACCGAGTTCACTTGGTGTTCGCCGAAGGGCACATTTCTTTTCAGTTTCATTAAGCTCGATATCATCAAGAGAATCCAGTGAAGAAGATCTACGAATAATGGTGTGACGTCGAAGTTTCTTTAAATTCTGTTTGTTAATTAAAGTTTATGATGTTCGTTTCCATGTCACCAATGAAGTTATTCAAAGCAAAAACCAATGAGAAAAAAAACGAATTAGAAAAAAGAGATTAACAAAGGAGATTAATTTTCAAAGTGAAATTAACTGTTGCTATCTACAAGAAAAGACAACTGAATTGGATAATTAGTTTCAATTACAGTTCATTCTTTGCTTTTAAGTGAATTTTTCTTCAAATGCAGGGTTAGCCTCTTGGAAAAAAATGAAGATGAAGAGTTTAGAAGGAACCAGGGAGGAAATTTGTAAAAAATAGTTGACAGAGAGGTTGTTGAGGAGAATGAGAATTATTTCTAGACAGCCATTCAGAGGAAAATTTACAATCCTTTCAACCTTAATTTTGTCTTTAATAGATTAGATTTACTGAGATGTCAGGAGACTTGAGACAATTCTTTTTCATCCCTATTGATAAAACTAAAATGTCTAAACTGAAACTGAAAGTTCAAAGAACATGGCTGGAAACTATTTTACTAAATTTTGATCCAATTATATCAAATTGAAAAGTTGTACGCATACATTTTTTTCACTGCTACTCTCATTATGTGGTAATAGTGGTCATTAGTTGTTGATTAACTTGATATACTCACTGCAACAACACGAAATAATGTTTGAGAGCTAACAGCTGGCCTTAGCTCTAGATTAGAAGAGCTGGAATCATTATTTGGATGGTTGTTGTTATTTTTATCACCATTATTATCATTAAATGTCGTCACATTATCTTTAGACTCTGGAACCAAAAAACTGACTGAATTTTTAAATTTATCGTCGCCCTTTTTTTGACTCTCTTGACGTTTGGCATTCATTAAGGCACAGGTTACACTGAAAAGAGAAGGATTTTCATTTTTCTCCGTAACAGATTGATTTGCTTTATCGATGGAGTCATTCAATGGATCTTCTATGACTTTTTTAGAGATGTCACCTAAATCAGTGAGGCGATGTTGAAATGTATCCCAACGTCCATAGCAAAGATCGATTCCGGAAACAAAAGCAATTTTTTGATCAACAACAACGACCTTTTCATGATGCGACCAGAAGATAGTTGCACCTTTAACAATATCAGGATGGCGAAGGATTTTTATATTTGGATGTAAACCCATTAAAATTTTCTTTGTGTAAACGCTACTGATTTGAAGTGCAAGTTCAATCTCCTTGTAAACAAGTATAAAAACGGCAACTCCTTGAGATGCTTTGCGAGATAGTAGAATATCCAATCTCCAGATATCACCATGAATAACAGGTCTTTTCAAGTAAATTTCTGGACTCAACCACCATCCAGTAATAAATATTTCTTCTTTAGCTGAATCTAAAGCTTCAGCGACTGCTTCAAAATACGAGACTCCATCAACATACCACTGACATGGTGTATTTGGACGCGGTGGGGCAAATGATTCATAACGATTGGGTTGAGTGTAGTCTTTGCCTAAAGTTGTAGCAGTCCGATTGATGGTATCAGTCCATTCAGAAGCTAACCGTTTGGTCCAACAACGAATGTCAAGGTCACGAGAAAGGTTGGTAATGCGAACTGAATACAAATCTCCAGTAACTTTGGGGTCATAAATGGCTTTAAACAAACGATCCATAAGCAGGACACAGCGTATGGACCCAGTGTTTGGATGTAAATAGGCGATAAAAGAGTCTTTCAATATTAACCATCTTTTACGTTGAGTCATGGCAACAGTCGAGAAAATGTATTTGGCACGAATACAACAGTTGACCATTGCATGGCCTCCGTCTTTCTTTTGGACGAATGATTCCAATCCTTTGTGACCAAGGTGATTAACAAATGATAAACGAGAGATTTCAAGAAAATTGAGAGTTGATTCATGTTCGCGAAATCCTTGGATTGATAAAAGGGCATTCAGATATTCCTCCAACATTTTCTAGTTTTCAAGTGGAATCAAAAAGAGCATCAAATTAATAGTAGAAAGTGCATTGAAAAAGATAAATCAAGAATAGTGATTAATGTAATAGAATAAAAAAAAATGAAAGCAAAGATTTAATTATCATGCAAGGTTATTGAATTTGCAAAGTTGGAATAATGACTGCAATTATTCATTCGTTAATGGTTTGGACATGATTTCAGTAAAGTTAATAAGAAATAGTGAAATGACAACGTTGTGAAACAATTTTACAGCTAAAATAGATTATTACACTTAAATTGTATTGATTGTACAATGATAAAATCACAATCTGATGCTAATTTCAACCCGCAAAAGTTATTCTGTTTTTTTTGTCAAACGTCAAATTGGCTACATTCAATTGGCTTATTGCTAACAACTGAACAAGTGTTTCTGGGAAATAAATTAAACACTGACTCTGTTAACAAATTGATTCAATCAAAACATGAATGCAAAGTTCAAGTCACATTCTAAGATTTTGCTCAGCATTCATTTCCCAACAAATTGCACTATTTTGTTACACTTTATTGGAGATAAAAAAGAGTAATTTTTAACTCTGGTGAAAAAACGTCTGTCAGCAATCGAGGATTGACATAAATAAAGAGCATCATTGGACCAATTTGATAAATTGATCAGCAGCTCATTTTTTTCATCACACATATTCCACATCAAGGTTAAACTCGATTATTGTCATTCCTTGCAATGTGTTCATCATTAGTATGTTATTGATCACGGAATATCTTCAATCATGTAGATACTCACAGGTCTAGCACGAGTCTCTTCTGGGGCTAAAAATGTATCAGGCTTGAAAGAGATTTCTGGTAATCCTTTTCGAGTTCCACTTGTATCCATTACACTTCGACGTTTACTGCTTTTCCCTCTTGAAGCCAATGGTAGACTTAAAGAGGCCAAGAAAAGTTTCAACTGTTGGTGAAGGTAAAGAAAGTTACTATGTTTTTTCCGAATAACCCATGTAAATGGACCATGAGTTAATTCATAGCTATATCTGTGGAAGAAAGATAAAGAAAACGCGGAAATATGAATTAAAAGATATACTGATAGAGCAATAAAGCAGTTATTAATGGTGTAATAAATTAACTTTTCACTTACAAGTATTGGTCAATGTAATGAGAATTGGGTGCTTCAGTGGTTTCAATAAATTTTGCTTTAATTGGCATTTCAGGAATCAATATTGCTTCAGATGGATAAAAGGCCGTGGGCACCGAATGAACTCTCATAAATGGAATCAAATCATCTGACAATTAAACGAGAAAAAAGAGTGGAAATCATAAGTCAATAGTTTTACATGAGTTTATTTGAGAGATTATCAAAAGTAAAATAAATCATTTAGCTTTTTATGCTTACCTGTTTCATCAGTTGTCTCATCGAGATTATTTGATTGATTCATTTGACCCAAGGGTATGTCAACAAACCCTTTGTTTACTTGACCCGAGATACTAGCCTGATCTTCAGTTTCACCCATGATGCAGGTTGAGCTTGAATGAAAAACTGATGGCCAACTCTGTGTTTCAAATGAGTAACGTTGATTCGATTGTAAAAGGATAAAGAAAAATTGAAGAAAAATTAAATTGAGATTAAGGTGACAAATTATTTGAAGACATTGGATTTACATTAGGCTTATCACAAGTGATGGTAAGTGTCACTATAAACAAGGGAAAGAAGGATGATGATCATGATGGTACTCAAGAAAATCTGGAAACGGTGGAAGTTTTTGCATGATGTTGACAGATCAAGTTTAACTGTTTATCACAAATGAGAACAAGGGAGAAGCATATGTAAAGACTAATAAGGGAAAACAATGCAATTATATCAATTAAATCACCTTGGATTTCATCTTGACGGTTTTTTGTTTTTCCCACTAGATGATATTACGAATGTGTTCCATGAAATGCCAGTAGATGTTAAAATTGAATACGATCAAGCAAAATTAGTAGCAGGTAAACAGCTCGAATCATTAGGAAACTATGATGCAATTTGAGCATAAATTAACATCACAAATATTAACACTTTCAACAGCGAAAACCAGTAACATGTGAAAAAGTAGCAAACCAGTGACAATAGAGAAAACGATTGAACTTTGAAGCACTTAAGAAACTATGGGAAAAAGAAGTAAAATCATTCCATCTATCTTTAATTGTTAAGACTATCAAATTATCGTAGGACTGAGAGGTAAAGTGTTAGTCTTGAAACAAAAAGATATCAAAGATAAATAATTTGTATATTGTTAAATTTCAATATTTCTGCATTACTCCTTGCCACTGGAAAACCAGGAAAACTGAATGAAATCTAGCCTGGTTTGTATTGGACTCGAGAAGGCCTTGAATTAAAATCAGTAAAGTTGGTTTAAAGATGATAATGATGATGTTGGCTGACGATGACGATTTTGATGAGGATGATAACAGTTTGAATGAAAGTGAACCACGTATAAGCAAACAATTGACTAGGCTGTTGAGAGGTTGATGCGGTTTAATAATGGTTGTTGATGATGATGATATGGTGCTTTATTGTTGTTGTCAGATTATTAATCTATGAATGATTAATTAATTAAGTTGATTGGTTTTAGTGGATGATACACTGTTAATCAAATAAATAAGCACAGCCATTGTTACCCATAGTTATCTAAATAATCACAACTGTTTATCTCAAGGTAAAAAGGCTTGTTAGACATTCACTCTTGCCATACACTTTTTTGAAAAACACATTTCTGGTGACACAATAAAACACAAATCATTGCTGTATTATAGTTGATTTGTTGTTGCTGATGATGTTTAGGTTGTCTTGTAATTAAATTATTCAACACCAATTATCTGGTTCCGAGTTCCCTGTTTAGTCCAAAATCTTTCCAAATTAACACAATTCCTGTCAAAATGGCAACTGTGATTAACAAAAAGAAAAATATAAAAACAGTTGGAAAGAGAACAAAAGTAACAGCGATTTTCAATCTTCTGACTTGATTTGAAAATAGTTTAAGAACACATTTATAATCTATTTACCTTTAAAATTGGACATGTTGATTAATTTTAATGAACACAACAATATAAGGTATTTGACCCAAAATTAATGATTAAGGAAACTATTAAAACAAGCATAATGACAGTAAAATTGTATTGCCAACAACCAGTTTGAAATAGAAAGAAAAAAAAGGTTAATACTTTTTGAACTTATAAAGGGTGTTGCGGTTAGTAAGGTTCAAGCAATCACTTTTTTGTTTCCCCTTTCTTTTTTGTCTTTCAACTGTTTAACCAGAATTTTCAGTTTTCTAGTTCAAATGGTGAGTTGAATTTAAATTTATCAAAACAGTTTAATTAAACAAATGATGATTTAACCAGAAAAGAACCAGAAAAGAACCCGAAACTGGTGTTAGGCGGATGAAAGCAAGAAAATTTCTTCACTTTCAATCCTTGAGTTATCAACAAACCTTCTCGGTCTCTTAACCTTGGTGACTGTTTTTCATGTTGACTAACAAATTCATAACATCGTTTGGTTCATGATTGTTATCTTTAAGTTATTAATCTGACAATCAAATATTACTTTGGTTGAGCCTAAAAATGGCGAAGTCTCTAGATTAGCCTTGTTACAATTAACCAATCAGTGTGCATCTCTATTTGTTTCAACTTACTTTCATAATCAACATCTTTAAAATTTTGACTCATTTTTCCCACCAAAATAACAGGAATCTTTCTGTGTTTTTCCTGGTTAACCAAGCCCATTATGGACCCACGATTAACAATGTGACAATGTGATTACACTATAATCTGTGAATCTAACCAAGATTTATTTTAGCCATTGAACCAGTTTTTTTTGGGTTCAATTTTTCAACCTTCCATTTCGAGTCAATCTTTATTAGGTTAAGCTCTAGTGCAACCAGATCGTTTAAAGGATGGAATCAATTAACAATAGTTATTTCTTTATTAAGGTTTGTTGTAAATTAATTAGTGTGCAATCTATTTTACCATTTTCATGTAATCTAGACTCATAAATCACCCGATTAAATTGTATTCTTTGATTCTTGTTAACTTAAAAAACCAAAGACACAACAAGTCAGCAAAATCATGAAATTCATGTTGAAATCTTTCCCCTCATGTAATTTGAAAGATGATCTACTTTAATAACTCTATCAAAACATTTCACTCTCACTTTTGCTTTTTTTAATTGTCTTGGCTTTATTCAAATATCATGAACTAATGGTGTATATTAAATTGTGTGTTAACCAACAAGTTCATTGGTTAAGTTGGCAAAAGAAAGTGATATTTCTCATGGTTAATGTGAAGTTGATTTTTAAATATAAAATGAATGCTTAATTAACATCACTATCAATTTTAATGGTTTACCAAAAGAAACCTAATATCAACCCAGCACTCAATAGGTTGGTTAAAATAGCTGTAAATTGTATTATTAGTATTTAATCCATTGAATTGTAATTAGTATGATAGCTTCTCTAATGCTAAAACTTAATGTGACGCTTGTAATAGCCAACATTTAATTTTCATTTTAAATTTATTTGCGCCAATGATTGATGAGCCAAACCTTTTAATTCAATCATAAATTTTAAAATATTGATGTAACCGGCAAGTTATTAGCTCAATGTTCAATGACAGATACCTTTAGATTACTTTTCATCAGAGGCAAAAATAGTCGGACAATAATGAGCAAAGATTAAAATCTTTTGATTTTAAGACAAAACATTAGCTTCTTTATAATGATGATATCATGACCAAGTTGTCTTGAAACCTCCAAGATTTTTATTCACAGAAACCAAGGATATCAAGATTTATATGACTATAAATGTTCCTGTTGCATTGAAATTAAAAATTATGACCAACGCAGCAGCGATTGAGTTGGATTCAATTGACTAGATTGCCTTCGAGACTACATGTGTTGTTAAACAGTGGAGGTAGAAATAGCGGCCAAATCAATATCAGCCATAAATATTGAATCCAATTACAGGCGAGTAAGTACACAATAAAATGAATTAAAATTAACGTTGACTTGAGTTGATATGGAAATCAGCAATTAATTAGAAAGATTAACATTTATTAAAACACAACTGCCGTCACTTTCAACAACTCAATGACTGCCATCTGTTGATTTAACTCATCATTTTCATATTTTCAATGGCTACAAACACAAGGAAATCAATTAAATCGTCAGGAAAATTGAAAAATTATTCTGGTTAAATATAGTTGAGTTGAAAATTTTCAAAGTAAGTCAAGTCAAATATTTTCCTAAGGCACTGCTCAGCTAATATACAAGTACAAGGCGGTAATGAAATTTTATGAATACACTATGATAACTTTAAACCTTGAAGAATCTGAATAATTGACAAACCGATATCGAGATTTTTTAGTATATATCGGTACTGGCCCTTCTTGAAGACCCACAAAACTGAAATAGCTACCTAAAGTCAGTCCAGAATGTGTAGCTTTTTTTCGTCGCGAGGTTCCTTCCATTTTACATGTTCTTTTTCATTTCATTCTCGGTTCGTTTTTTTGTCACTTTTTGTTTTTTGGGTTTTTTCATTTCATCTCTGCATCTTTACCACAAAGTTATTACATTTCTGATCTGATGATTGAATAGTCGTGAGTATTGGTATAATTATATTCGCGTGTACAGTCATGAAAACCTTGTTGAGTATTATAACAAAATTATTATGAAAAAAGCGCTTCTAATTTAACTCAATGAGATAAATTTATCAACGATCCCTAATTAAGGAGGAGTTACACTTTTCCCTCGAGTTTTTTGCTTATTGTGCTGCCATCTAGAGCAACTAAAGGGGGAAACCATAAAATTTTACAATTAAAACAATTAATGATGATTTGATGACTTCCCCTTGTCCCCTCTTTATTCTTTCCTCATAAGGGGAGTCATTAGAGTAGAATAATTGCTTTAAATGTGAAATTTCGTGGTTTCCCTTCGTACTTCACCTGAATGGCAAAAACTCGAGGGAAAAGTGTAGTTCAATTTGAATTTCATCAAATGAATTGCTGCCATTTTTCGTAAAATATCAATCAAAATATTCACAAAATCATCTTAAATTAACATTCGATTAAATTCGATTAAGGAAGATTGAAATTCATGAAATTCACTGCCCGATGAATAGTGAAAATAAGCTATTCCACAGTAATTTCATTATCGTGGACCTCACTCTAATAAAATATTTTTTTCTTACAGTAAATCAAATTTTACTAATTCTGCTTGTAATTTAGGCTTTCAAATCTTTTTTAATTTTATCCGGCTATATTTGAAACTCTTTTGTACATTGAGACAAATCTCCACTTTTGACCTAAAATTTCAACCATTTCGTTCGCTCCAACAGTAAATATTCAATGTTTATCACTTCATTATTTTAATGAAAATGAAGCTGAAAATTATTGAACGGTTACAAAATTTAAGGTTTCATTTAATTAAGTGCTTAATTTTATAAAAAAAATAGCTAGAAGATAATTAAATAATATAATGAACAATTAAATTTAATTCTCATAAAAAAAACTTAAAAATTGGTTAAAAAGAGAGGGGAAAGAAAGAGAAAAAGAAAAAAGAGAATGGAAAAGAAAGGGAAAAAAGAAAGAGAGTGATGTGAGCGCCTCTAGTTTAGACTCGCCAACCTTCCTTCGCTGAGCCACTCAGCCATCTGGCTTCACTTTGTCAGTGTCCTTTACTGATAATAAATTCCCATTGAACCCTATGGAGAGCTATCTCTTATTCTTTACTCTTTGGTTCACCACCTATAGCTTTACCAAATATTAACTCGCCGATGGCTTCATCTCGTCATATTAAATCAGAAGGTATCAATAGTTCAAGTAGTAATAACAGTAACTGTAGCAACAACAATTTAATGTGCGACGAAGAAGGACATTCACAAGGATCCATGAAGCCAACAATTGAAAGAGGTGCTAGCTGGTCTTACAGTGAGACAAGAATTTTACTTTCTCTTTGGGGACAAGATATGGTACAAAGACAATTGACTAATTCAAAAAGGACTCGCCATGTTTGGGAAAAAATAGCTGAAAGAATTAAGGAGCATGGATATGACCGAACAGCAGGTAAATAGTTTCATTGTTTTGTTTTATCTGTCCTCACTTCTAATGTCTTTTTTGCCGCCTTTTTTCAGATCAAGTTAGAACACGGGTATTCAACATGATAGCAGAGTATCGAAGAATCTTGAAAAATCCTACTCCTGAGCGAAAAAAGAAATGTATTTTTTTCGATGCTCTTCATAAAATTTATCAAGCAAAAGATGCCAATGGAGTCAAAGCGGCTCTCAATTATGATGATGATTACAATCTGGAACCTCTTGATCTAGGACCTGATGATGGTACAGATGAGAATGATGATGGGAACGGGAGTGGAGAAGATGGCGATGATCTCTTTTATGCTATGTCTCCAAACCAAATTTCAAATGGTGTCAGTGATAAGCAAGGAACATCAAGTAATTTTAAAGAACCTTCTGCATCTACTTCTACGCATAATATGGATAAATCTAAAAATAATATTGACCATGGTATTTTTTTATTTCTTTCACTATTTTTCTCGCTATTTCACCTACTTTTTTCTTTATTTTCAGATGATGGTTCTGGTGATGAACTACCTCATACAAGTAGAGAAGGTACGAATATATCTACATAGTGATGTTTTGTGATGTCAATTTCAATCTTTGATCATATTTCTAATATTTTTATTTCTTCATTCACAGAATCTGGTAATCCATCCAAAAGGTTACGGTCTGATTCAAATCCATCAGCATATTATCAACACAATTCTGACTCCTCGAATCAACCCAATGCATCATATGAGGGTCAACATCCGCCAACTGCTTCAGCTCTTCTTATTGATAGGATATTCAAGCATTTAACTAAAGAAACAGAAGTGATGCGAGAATGGATAAGTTTGGAAAAAGAGAGATTTGAGCGTGAAGCTACTAGACGTAAGGAAGAAAATGAAAGAGAAGAAAGACGTGAAAAGGCTTTCTTGGATACGTTAATGAAAATGCAAGAGCATACGTTTAAGGCTTTAAAAAACAAAATTAGCAATGGTCCACATGTATGAAAATTTAATCAACTTGACTTGAGTATAACACCAGCTCTCAGCTACTTGAGTATTAGCCTCATTAGAGGCTGGTGCCAAGAACATAACAAGAGGTAGCACGCAATGTTGAATATCTTTTTGAGATAAGTATAGGGAAAGGAGCAGAACGCGATGGCGCCACTAACAATTCTTTTAATTTTTCTTTAATTTCTTGAACTTTTTCATCAAAAAATTTGTTTACATTTATTTTTTTGTCATTTTTTCATCTATTTCCGCACCTTTTCTCACTGATAGCTCTCTCTCTTTTTCCTGCTCCTTTTCACTTCTTATCTCTCTTGTCTATAGCTCTCATCGCCGTGCTCTTTCTTGTTATTACTCTTAGGGCTGGTGGCGATGGCGGTCTAGACGCCGCCATACTTTTTTTTTAAAATTCATATTAATAAATTGTTCTTTAAATAAAAATAATGCACAATCACTGTATTTTTTTGAAAATGATAATAGTCACACTAATATAAATACAAAATTTAAATTCACAACTGATTGAGACAAAAATCAATAACAGAGTAGAACTTTATTTATTATAAAGTAAAATGTTTTTCCGCAAAGGTTACAGTCTTGTTTGGTGCGGACAACAACTACAATTTTGTCTGAATTAGTTTCATAGAAATATCTATTCTGGCGAAAAGAACGGGCAAAAGTTGCTTTACAAATGGTGAAAATGGCTTCTCGAAAGTATCTATATCGTTGGAAAGAAAATTGCTGATGAATGGTTTCAAAAAAACTCGAAGCAGTGTTCTCAACTTCATATCAGGAACATTTTTAATCCCAGAAAGCGTTAAGCTGATGTTGATGAATTCTGGATATAGCTCGCGCGTGATTAAGAAATGAGCAGAAACAATAGATGAGTAGCAATAGTCTTGAGAATTCCATAAAATTTTTTGCATCCGCAAGGCTGGACTTTTAGCTGGGCTACAGGCTTCATTTTTTTCATGACTTGTCCATGGATTTCCAAAAAAGAGAGACAATCACTTTCAGTCACATGAGTCATTGGACGATAATCAGCATGGCAAATCATCATCATTTCTTGATTCCAAAGATAATTCAGATAAGACAATAGGTTACAGAGGGGATTCATCATTGCCATAACAGGAGCATGGAGAACTTCTTTTTTTCGCATTCGTTTGAGAAGACCCAATAGTGTTGATATGGCATGCATTAATTGAGCACGAGTTTTCCCTTTAGAATCAAAATCAGAAGGAAACGTATCCAGTCCAACAGATGAGATAAAGGAGTAAGGTAGCACTCGAGAAACCGTTTGAAAGTATCATTAATCCCTCGTTGAGAGTACAATTTTCAGTTTGACTGGCTTCTACATTAACAGCGAATGTTTTGTGGATACGATCCTTAACTGGCCGAAAACCCGGAATACTATTTCAGAATAGGCTTGTGTTATTTTGATGAATAAGGCCAAGTATATCCACTGAGATTTCTAACAGAGTAACTTCGATGATTACTGTTCTTTCCGGAAAGTTCATAACCAGCCATTTTAAAAATTCTTTTCAGCAGAGAGTCGATGGAATTAGGATCTAAAGTAAGAGAATGAGGAATGAAAATAGTCAAGGCAGATAAACATGAAATCTGACAGCATAATATCTCAACTTGAAAATCCCTTTCATCAGATTTTAACAGCACATCAAGAAGCGAAGATCCTTTTTTATAATGAAGTGTAAGCGATCGCACAAGATCAATTAATTCAGCTTTAAACTTAATATAATAAAAATCGCAGTCTTCTTCGTCATCGAACTCCATTGGAATTGAAGGATCACCGAAGGGTAATTTTTCCGGAATCATTGAAAGTAAACTCGTTAACAATGATTCAGTGATTAAAGTTTGAAGCTCTTTACTTTTAGCCAATTCTCTCCAAAATTGAAGAACGAAAGCATTTAGAATATAATTATCTATACAAAAAAGCGAATGCATTTTTTGAATGTATATTTGCCAGGTTTCCATGGGAAGTTGTTTAACTAAATGCAGTTGAATTGCTGTCTGTCCCATTATGGTTACAACACTAAAAACGCTCTTGGCAAGAGTGAAATGTCCATTGAAGAAGTTATTCCTAACGCTAATTGCTAATTAATTTTCAGTAGCTAAGATATCACAAAAAACAATAAAGTTTCATCAAATATCATCTATTCCAGGAAATGAGATAAAGTTCGGAGAGCAGCAGAACACAAATCACAATCACCAGAAACCAAAAATTTACCAATATAAGTCGAAATTTCAGGATATTTGGATTTCAATTCAACTGCCATGTCTCTTCGTCGATCACAGTTTGCAGGAGAGTAAAAAATTCCTAATTTTCCTGATAGTCTTCCCATGATAAAAAACACGACCATTGTGTTTTGACGATAACATGAAATCCATCAGGCGAGGCCAATTTCTGTGCCATTCTCTTTTCATTACTATAACAGCACATTCAGAAATACCCTAAATCATTGCCAAAGAATTGCTTTAATTTCATCTTTGGTTGCATTTGACATTTCATTCCATTTATGCTTGAAACAATTTTCGACCAGCTGAAGTCCGAAGTGTGTTACAGTGAGTCAAGTCTTCATCATATTGAAAATTCGTTAATTTGAATGGTTTAACCCACATCGGGCTGTTGTTGAGCGCTTCAATCCGCATGTGAGCCTCTCTCATTTGATTTTTGTCCAGAATTCCCCGGCGAATTGAGCCAACAGCCTCGATAATTTTGAGCACACTACTATCCACTTCGGCGCTCAAAAGATGTGCCATTGTGATTGAGACGAGCAAAATAACTGAAAAGAGGAAGATGAACAGATGGAAGAAAGAGTCAATAAAGGCGGTTAATACAAATAATAAAGAAATCAAGATTCAAAAATTTCTTACCGCTGTTTCTTCTTATTTTACATTCCCTACTCCATTACATTACTGACAATTTCTGGTAGTTTACTGCAAGCAATAAGATGTTTACAATCAAATTGATCAATTTATTTATTTACATTTCTATTTTTTAAAAATTATGCTTCGTCCGAATGGTTGACCAATACTTGAGTTAATTGTTATATGTGGATGGATCCTGACGATTCAATGTCCAAATGGATGGTGCGAAGACACGTTTTTCCTTTGTTTCGCGTAAAAATGGTGAAATTTGATTTGAAGGTAATCACTCGCTTTCCCCTCTTTTTCATTTCCAACATTATCTGTGTATTGATAAATTTGCCATTTGGTTAACAATGAAGGGAATACAATGAAGAGATGAAGAAGGAGAAACACCGAGGTTAATCATATTTCATTAACATGGTCTAATCACAAGGTTGACATTTGTGATTGGAAAAAGTCTTTGGTCATCAATCCCTTCAAATGCACCAGTTTACCTTGAATACAACATGAAATCCTTACTCATTGTACAAGGAACTACACTTTTCCCTCTTTATCAGTTTCTACATTCATTTTTATTATATACTTGATTATTATTAATAATATCTGAATCACACAAAAAGGTAAAAAAAACAGACAGCCACAATTTCAATTGTTAGACCTTGGTTGAAACGAGACATTAACATTTTGTGTTTCCTTCCCTGTTTTACCTTGAATTTCCATGATTTCCGTGTTCGTCATAATCATGATCATAATCGTCTTCATTAAAAAAAGAGAGATGATCATCGCTGAAAAATTGAAACCCAATTAATTAACAAATGAAACGCGTTGGAAAGCAACTCATAAAACCAGGACAAGGAAACAAGACTAATCCATGTTACACTGATGCCATAAAATAAACACTGAAATACAAATGCGATAAAGTAATAACAATAATCTCTTTGAGTGTTAAAATTAATCAACAATTAGTAAATTATTTTTTGTATATAAATACGACTGCAAGTTGACCTTAAATAAGGCAGGAACGTTAACAGTTGAATCCTCACCTTGAACTTAAAATTGTAAATGCACCGAATTTTTGATTAACATTTAAACAGTTCCATTTAAACACAATCAACAGCCAATTTAGAGTTGATTAAGGTCGATTCTAGGTTTGCAAATGGATAACAATTAAATAGCTATTAATTTACAAATCATTACACATGTAAACAAAAGTCAATCCAGTCTTGTTTGATGTTCACTCAACGTAATAATCAATTGTGATCATCATTTTTCATTCATCTCTCTTCCTCTTCTTCCTCTTCTGTCTACATCAGAATCAAGTCTGTCGATTCATCCTCCTTCATCTTTCTCTTTCTATCCTTGCTTTGATCCCATTTCACACGCTTAATTTAGATTAAAGATGGTGAGGCCTTCTGAGTTTAACCTCACGGAATTGGAATCCTTTTTTTTCAGGAATAGTTACTATTGAGTTTCATGATGACGATGAATATAAGAAAGAGAAGAGAGAAGAAAAGATAGTCAACGAGTTACCTTTTGAAACATAAAAACAGTTTTTTTTTCTCTATCCAATCTTTGGTGTAGATTCAGATATTTAAGTGATTTGTCCTCAAATCATTCAAAGGATGATGAAAATGGTGTTCTAATAATAGTCAATTTACTGTTATTATTTAAGGAGGAAGATGATGATTGTTTATAAGGCTGATAAACATGTGAACAAGATTGCGGTGAACATTTTAGGCAAGTTAACATTAAGGCCATTTTTGGTGGATCAAAATCAGGTAAAACATTTTAAACTGAATCATTTATAATTCAATGATTAGAACGGTCATGACCTAAACATTGTTATCATTAATAATTTCAATTAATTCTCAAATTATCTCCCACTTGTTTCAATCTCAATAACCAAGTTTGACGAGCGACAAGTGACTTAAAAAAACAAACAAAGAAACAACAATTGCTTGACAATCGGTCAACTTGACCTTACCAGAAATGAAACTAAAATAGACCAATAATAGGAAACAGATTCAATTAACTGTAACAATTTTACATTTAAAAACATGTTCAACTTTCCAGGTAATTAAATCAATTTCCATTGATAGGTTTAGCTTTTGCTTTCATGGACATCACCTAACTCTTATCAGCTCATGGTGATTATTTTATCCATTTAATTTGCTATTTTATTGAAAGGCAAGAACGAGGTCTCAACAATCAATGGCAATTTACTAATGAAGGGTAAAACTTGGCTAAATCCTCAAAAACAAGGTCCTTCAACACCAAAAGTCTGGTTGCATGTTAACCTTTAAGACGTCCATTTTTAGGTTTAGCTGTACAATTGGTAATTACAGTAAATTTGCATTTATTTCAATTTTAATTGTCTCTCTCTTTCTCTCAATTTGATCAATGGGTCAATGTTTTTAATCATGATCAATGAGTTTAATCAAATAATCAGTTAAAACGTTAACCTTGGTGATCAACCTTATTACGCTTTCCCAATACATTGACATTGACTTGACGGTCATGATTTGATTAAACAAAAGGCTACTCATCCAGTATTCAGGTTTAGATGATTTTCAAGAGGGAAATATAATGGTTTGTTTAGATTCAAATATAAACCTAATTGATTAGTGTTTAATTATTTAAATTCATTAGGATTTAATGAACAATTTAGGAGATGCTAAAAATGATGATTAATGCGATTATCTATTTAGATTGTGATTCTTCTTTTGTACAGTGAAAATGGATTGAATATAATTTTAATAACAATTAAAGCCTTTTTGGTTGACCTGTTATCACGTTGATTCTGGGTAACCCGGTAACCGTCTAAATGTTTGAACTAAAACTTAAATTGTTACCATCAAATAAGATGATGATGATGATGATGATGAAGAAAAATGTTGATTAACAAATGACCTGGATGTTAATGCTTTTTGAAGAGGTTGAGAGAAAGTTACAATCAGTTAAACAAGTATGTGAACAGTAAATCATCAATAAACATCATTATAATCATCATAATCATCATCTTGTTTTGTTTTTGTCAAATTGATTAATACTGTCAAAGAAGCAAATGAAGACGTAAAAAAAGACAAAGTCAAATGACAACTTAATGTGTACCAATTGATTGATTACCATTGTAATCGGTTTAACGGGAAAAACGCAAACAATTGACCAATAAGGTAACTCTACAGCAACAAATCACCAACAATTAACCCAACTAAACGTTAATTGTTACATAGAAAGAAAAGGCAAAAACAAGAATTGATAATCACTTGTTAGGCTAATTTATTGGTAACAAAAAGTATGGTTTAGTTTAAAAACCGATTAACTCAATATTTTTAGGTTAACCATTCAACATCATTTTCTGGTATATTATTGGGTTTATCACAATATTCATATTTGTCAGCTTCTCTCTATTTCTGGTTAACTTGATATTTCTATTAATAATTTTACTGGTTTGGGTTTCTAATTAACCAGAAAATGACCATTTTGTAAGGTAATGCACAGATTGAGATTTAACCAGTTTCTGGTTGTTGATTGAAAAACTGAATTAGATAATAGTTTATTAATGAACATATTGACTCAACTGTTGGTTTATTTTAAAGGCAACAATTAACAGTAACCATGTAATCTAATGATAGGTTTTAAATAACAGATGAAACTTGATCAACTGAAAAATCACAAAGAAATTGATTGCTGTGTTTTTTCCTTGTAGCGTTAAACATGAACATGATTTAACAAGGAAACAATTGGAAAGCATTTTTGATAACTAGAGAAATTTGGTTTTAATCACAATTAGTTTGAGATTGGGTAAAGATTGAGACGAAAAGTTAACAATGAAATCAATCCAGGAAAAGGGTAAAGTTGATGTTAACCATTTACGTTCATTAATTCTGTACACTTTGATTTGTATCTTCATCTTATTGTGTTCAGTGTTGATTTTTTTAATGTTCATCAACATCTATCATCATTACAAGTTTCCAGAGATTCAAAGTCTTAACCATTATCGGCATAATCAATGGTATCACAATCAACAACGAAAACCAGATGGAATAATAATGAATGTTTTAACCAAACAAATTGATCAACAAACCTCAACACTTTCAACAACAATTGGCTCACCAACAGGCTCATCATCATCTGATTTAATCACAAGAACCCAAGGTTAGTTTTTGATTGGAAAGAGGCAAAAATTGAAAGAAAGTCTTGATTTATTGAAACTTGTAAATCAATGAGAAATAATTTCTTGCATTGTTTTAATCATTCCTTATCAACAGGGATTGTGATCAAACCTTACATGGAGCAAGGAGTAGAGAGTTATGTTCAAAGTGTTTTGGAATCGACATTTAAAACAACGAAAGAGTTAATTGATCAAAGGAGGAATCCAGCAATTAACTAATGACTGTCAATGAGTGTCATCACCAGGAATTGATATTCACCTTTTAAACACATTACATAATTTTCATGCCTTTTTACAATTTAACACAAAAGTAGGATCATCATGATTCTGTAATCAACTTGAAGGACAAACAATTGTTTTGATTTACCAATAATCACGCAACATTGCAATGATTAACAAATACAATTAAAGGCTAGCCACAAGATTAACGAGATGAAGGTTTAAATGGTGTAAAGGGATTGGTAAAAATCAATGAAAGTTTTGATCTGTTCAAGTCTTCAGCTTTCAACTGGAAGATTAATTTATAACAGATTGCACTTTTAACCAGGAAAAGCAAACACATCTCGAGTTATTATTATTACAATGGGAAAATATATGAGAAGTGGATTTAACTGTAACCTAAATAATGAAAGCAAAAATTAGATTAAAATATACCCAAAAAAAAGGTTAATGATGAGTTGAGATGGAGCAAAAAGAATTGATAAGTCAAATTTAAAAACAATAACGAGGTCATAAATAAAATCAAATGAATATCGATTTAATCGATTGTAAAGTTTGAAGGTAATGATAATAATAATAATGATGATGTTGATGAACATTATTAGAAGTTGAAATATTCAGAGGAAAAAGAAGCCAAAACTAGGTTGATTGAGAGATGGAAATGTAACCATTTATTTATCTTGGTAACTTTTTGGGCTATTTTTCTGGTTCCTACAGAGACTGAGTAATTTTAGAGTAGGTCAAAGCTTAACCAAAAAGGTCTTAACTGTTTTCCTTTTTTCTATTGACATTTACTGTGAGTATGTGACCTTTCAAGGCAAAGTTAAGTCTTGGGTCAAAGTACTTTTTGAAAGCAGTCAGGTTCGATATAAGCATTTGTCTCATATCGATATTTCCACATCGAAGGCTTACCCATCGATACATCAAAAAATATCAAAAAATATCAAAAAATCTTAAGCATTGAAGGTTGACTTTACTGACTGAAATGTTTCAGAGTCAGAGTCACATATGAACATGTTTTGGAACCGTATTCGAGATGGAAAAGATTGTTCATGGAAAAAGGAGTAAATTTGGAAAATTAATGTTCGAACTTGTACGATCATTTCTATGTATTTATATCGATATTGAAGTCAATATGTTTGCTCGTGAAAAATATCGATTGATTCGATACATCATCACATCTCTAGGTCAAAGGTAACCTCTGAAAGGGAGAAACCCAAGTCTATGGAGTTACCTTGAGGTTATCGTCTTATGTTTCTTTATTTCTTTCCTATTTTTTCTTCTCTTTTTCAGTCCCTTCTTCTCATCATCATATTGGAAGAGAAAGAGAAAGATGGCGATAAATAATGAAAGTGAGATTCTCTCGTACAAGAAGAATAATAAAAAGACCAAAAACCATTATACAATTGTTGACCTGGTTCCTCTTTTTATCACTTACTTTTTCATCTCTAGATCTTTTTCATCTTCTCAAGGTTTGTGTCTTTTCATCTTCTTCTTCCATATCAACATCTTCCATCGTCTCTCTCTTTGAGTTGCCCTTTTCTGGGTCCTTTTTTACCTTTTCACTGCATTTTATTTTCTCGCCTTTTTAACCTTCGCGTTGTTACTTCAATCATTTGGTCAACTTGATAGTGATAAAGATACACAATTATTATTGTCAAGATTTTGTCACTTGTTAGGTTAACCATTTTAAAAGGTAAAGTGAATGTTGTTTATGTTTTTCTGGCCTCTCCTTTGAACATTGAACACATTTTCAATAAAAGATTTACAGTGATTTCCAGATAACGGGAGTTGCTATTTAACTCTGATTTAATTTACTTTCGTGAAATATCAATCAAATCGAGAATCGAGCAATTAAAATTTTAGGCCAAATCGATATATTAAACAAGATTGAAAATCATCGAGTGGCCGACAAATGGTGAACAAAATTTCCACCTATTCCCATTATCTGGCACATCACTGTATATTTGTTGGTTTGACTGCAACATTTTTAAATTGTAAATACAAAAATGAGTCAAATTAAAAATGATCAATCTAAATTGTTTTGATGTCAAATTGTTGGTTTCTCATATATCCAACCTTGAACCTGGTTTAAATAATCATGAAAATCATTAGACTTAAACAATCTAAATCAGGGTCAAGAATTAAGCAGCATTTTTATAAGCAAATCAATGTGTCAGCCTTTTCTTTTCATCAACACCAAAAAAACTGAACACACATAACAGCTAATAGACAAAGCTGATTGTTTAACAAACATTATTTAAATTGAACAATTAATTGACATCTTCAACCTGATTAAACGGAACACACACAGAATCATCCTAAAATTAATAAATGTTTAAAAGATAATGATTAAACAATGAGAAAACAATCTTTACCAGATTTCAGGGTTTCTTTTACAAATAACCAAATCTCTTTACATAAAGCATCTGAAAGGGTCACAAAGGGATCACCAGTGGGTTAAGATGTTGCCCATTCTGGTTCAACAATTGTTCAAGCCTAAATATGTCGACTACTTAAATTGAAATCATCATTGACCTGACCCAGGATTCACTGACTGTACATTTTGGGTTTCACAATTGACACAAAGTGTATAGCAAAAATTGTATTAATGATGACCTGCTTTGAACCAAAAAACCTCACCCTCTTTTTTTTGTTGTATTATCATTACAATTGACTATTAGGTTTTTTAACAATATATTTATAATGGTAAAATATATTAATACTTAACCCAATTAACTTGATCTCAACGAAACAATTAATCTAAAAGTTAACAATATTTGACTAAATAATAAGCAGCCAACGGTTTGTTAAACAATTGATTGAAAAGCTTGACAAAATTGTAGCAACAATTAGATGATAATTAGGTAAGAAGTGACCTTTTCTGGTTAAACCATCAAACTATCGTTTGGGTTTAGATCATTATAACAAGATTGATTAAATGGATTCAATTTAAAGATTGATTAATCTGCTGATTAGGTTTTAGTGATTGACTAGTTAACCTGAAAATCTGGTGCAACAGAATTTGAAAATTAACAGTGAAAAATATATATGATTATGTTGACAGTTGACTGTTAATTAATAGCAAACTGTTTTCTGATCAAATTAAATGTTCACAATTAATTAATGGAACAACCAGAAATGAGAAAAATAGATTAAAAGATGACGTCAGGTAAAAGTCTATTCTTACTTTTCCAGTGATAATCTAAATTGTTTGATGAGTTAACATACAAATCAATAGACGACACTTAATTGTGTTCAATGGTTTTACAGTAATATTATCATCTCTTGTTGATAGTTACTTTTAACAGCAATAATCAAGGTTGACAGTTTGGCAAGATTAACTCTTTTTCATGATCGTTTTTCATGATTGTTTTAGTAATTGTTGTTAATAAGTTTTCATTATTAAAGACCTACAAAAACAAAGCAACAAAAAAACTTCATTAACATGGTGAGATATGGTTGAACAAATTGTTTCCAGTTTAACCTCAAATCAACTTTTGGGTCCTTTTTTGTCTCTCACTCAAATGTATTGATGATGATGTAGTAAAGTTTATCAATGTCATCAAAATTAAAGTTAACCTTCAAATTGACATAAAAAAACACAATAATCAAAATTAGAGGCTACTTTTTTTGTTTCTCTCAGGTTAAGCAAAATTCAGTTTGATTCATTAATACATGTGATAATGGAGACATGTTATTGGTTTAGTTTTAAGGATTATCTTCACAATTTAGTTGATCATTTGAAATTGTAAAAAGACTAATAAATTAACAATGATTTAAGTGAATAATGTTAATGTTAAAAGGAAGTTAAAAATTGGTAATTAAGATATAATTAATTTACGCAATCTTCTAATAGGGAAAAGTTTGGTAGAAATGCAAGTTTACATTCAATTTTCAATAATAGTTAAGATGGTATTAAAATGAATTAGTTATTGAAATTGAGCTCAACTAGGACAAAATTAAATGATCATGAATCAAATGTTTTTTCCCTTAATTTGGTTAAATTGTTAATTTCAAGACAAATGTAACACAAGATTAAAAGTGAATTGAATATTAGTCAACCAAAATCATCCTCAAAGTTGACATTGATTTGAAATTTAAATATAATAAAAAAAATGGTTTAAGGTTGAAATTAGATTAAAATGACCATTAATTAAGTGTTTAAAGATGAGTTTACATCTTCTCGAAATTAAAAGGTAAAAAAAACTTATCATTTTAACGTTATTAAAGTAATTTTGCAGCTTTTTTAATCAACATTCAATGCTTACATAAATGTACAGAGAAAAGCAAAGAGGAAGAAAGAAAGAAAGAAAGAAAAGAGAGAAAGAAAGAAAGAGAGCGGGTGGGTGGGTAAGCTTCATATTGAAGTTTGTATGTGGCGAGGTGGGGCGTGTATGTGTATGTAAACGTACGTACGTATAGATGTGTATGGTATGTGTGTGTATAAGTGCATGTGCAATATGTGTTGTTGTTGTTGTTGTAGTTGGATGCTGTTGCTTTGAAAAATTGATACAGTAGGTTTAAATATATTAAGATTGCTTGATCCGTTTCCTTGGTGGACCAATTGGAGGTATTTGTTGGGTAGCAAGAGCTCTAAATGCTTCTGCTATCAGATGAGGTTGTCTGGTTATCATAGTTTTCCACCCTTGCGTTTCCATAACATCAGTGGCATGTGTGTTTATAAAGTCTATGGCATGAGCTTTAAGTTGACTTGCACTATGCATATCCGCTAAAATAAGAACTTCGGCAGCCGTTTCAACTGATAAATTGGAACATAATGCTTCTTCACACATTACTTTCAATCTTTCGAGATCGTATTTGTCTGCAGCAGCTAGAAGGTCATCTGCCATCTTTCCCAAATTAGATGATTTACCGGTATAAATAAAATTCAACATTTCTCCTAATACTTCATGATTTATATCGGTTATTTCAACTCGGTTTTGTTTGCTTTCCTCTAAATTATGTTCAAACATAGCGGCAAAAACGGGTGACCTTGCTGCTAATATAGCTTTGTGTGCAAGAAATTCCTTTCCATTAACACTTAAAATGACGTCACTAAATCGATGGTTTTCAAATAAATTGCCAAGATCATCAGAGAGTCGGCATTCAGGTACTTTGAATTGAATTGCGTTATTTTGTCCTGCAATGTTCACTGAATCAGCAACAACGCTTACTTCACAATATAAGGTTAATTTATCTTCAGGTAATAAACCATTGGCTTCATCGAGTAAAAAGTCACGTCTGATGAATTTTTTGAAACCCCAGTCTTTACCTTGAACAAATCTGTAGGCTCTTTGACTTTCCATGGCTTTGGTTTCTTCCCGTTTAGCGTTTAATATTGAGAACTTGAATTTGGCTCTTACTTCTGATTTATTGCAAGAGACAAGAAGAAGATATAGAGACAGGTAATCTTTACTTTCCTCGTCGAGTCCTTTGGGGTTTACTCGTAAACACCATCTAAGTTTATCATTGGCTCCGGCTGAGAATGTTGAGCTTTTCAGAACTTCACCCATCTCTTCACGACAAAAACTAAAATTATTTATGGTCCACATATATGAAAATTTAATCACTTTGACTTGAGTATAACACCAGCTCTCAGCTACTGGAGTATTAGCCTCATTAGAGGCTGGTGGTGATGGTGGTCTAGACGCCGCCATACTTTTTTTAAATTAATATTAATAAATTTTCTTTAAATAAAAAAAATAATACACAATAACTATATTTATTTAAAAATGATAGTAGTCACACTAATATAAATACAAAATTTAAGTTCACAACTAATTCAGCAGGCAACAATCAATAACAGAGTAAGACTAAAGACAAAGGTGGTTCAGAAAAAGGAAGCTTGCGAAGTTAGATACAGGTCCAGGTATTCAGATACCAAGTATTGATCCGAAAACCGTATTCGCGTGATTATCCGGATATTTTCCGTGGCCATTAAATATAAGTTTTTTTTATAATTTTTTTATTAATTTTATTTTATTTGTACTTTTCAGTTATTTTCAAAGGTTTTCATAACAAAACAAAGACTATAACATCGCTTTTCAATGTTGAAAAAATAACAAAAATATAATTTTAACTGAGCTATTGAAAGACGGAAAGGCTTTTAGGAGAGTTGATTATAAATTATCAAATTTACAAAATATCTACTGCTTTTAATTCACGAGATGACTCACAATTACCTAAAAAGTTCATAAAAATATAAAGTCTTATCATTGAAAACATCTGTTGTTTTTTTCCGTCTTGGAGTTGAAATTGAATTTCCTCCTTTGTCTTGGGGGTTTCTCCCAATTTTGGATAAGCTTTTACCGATTATTGGATCTAAAAGCTCTTCTAACGCTTCTCGTTTACTTTTTTGAACATTTTTAGTTTTTGGTGGGTTACGAATCCATTTTTTTTCGAATTGAACCCATTTTTCGATATTTCCATCCGATAATTTGATGAGATCATGTTTAACAGAGTTAAATTTCATCGGGAGTATTAAGCTTTCATAAATAGTGGATATCAACTGCAAGCATATTCCGCGATTTAGCTCGTATTCACCAAAATATCCTAAAGCTTTACAAATATTTTCTAGTAAAAATAGACAGTCTGATGGATTACGGACCATGGCATGTTCAATTAGACGAGCCAGAACGACTTCACACAGAGAACCAGCTTTCCATGAAACTGTTGAGTCTGGCCAATTTAAACATTGAAAACAAATCTGAGTAATAATGCTGGGCAAATTTTTAATGAGGTAATCTCCAAGGTAAGAGGCGCTTTGCTCAACTGGTTTGTTATTTTGTTCATCTGTTTCTCTTGAATCAAAATCATCTTCATCTATCAGATTTTCGGGCTTTCGGTTACTTTTTGAGGATAAAATTAAACACCTTAGGATACTGACAAAGTCCAGTGCAAGATCTCGACTAGCTTTTTCTTCAACGATCTCACGTCTAATGTCAGTTTTCTCTTCAATACATTCTCGTTCACAAATAATTTTCATAGAAATATCTATTCTGGTGAAAAGAACGGGCAAAACTTGCTTAACAAACGGTGAAAACGTCTTCTCAAAATCATCTATATCGTTAAAACGAAAATTTTTGAAGAATGGTTTCAAAAAAACTCGAATCACTCTTCTCAACATCATATCAGGAAGATTTTCAAAGCCAGCCACCGCTAAGGTGATGTTGTTAAATTCCAAATATAGCTCGGGAGTAATTAAAGAATAAGCAGCCCCAATAGCTGAGTAGCAATAGTCTTGAAAATTCAAAAAAAATTTCTGCATCCGTAAGGCTGGACTTTTAGATGGGTTACAATCTTCATTATCTTCATGACTAGTACCAAGGATTTCCAAAAAAGTAAGATAATCTCTTTCAGTGATAGGAGCGAAAACAGTTGAGCGATAATCAGCATGGCAAATCATCATCATTTCTTGATTCCAAAGAGAATTTAGATGAGACAATAGCTTACAGAGGGGATTCATCATTGCCATAACAGGAGCATGGAGAACTTCTTTTTTTCGTACTCGTTTGAGAAGACCCAATAGAGTTGATATGACATGCATTAATTGAGCACGAGTTTGTCTTTTGAAATCAAAATCACAAGGAGACGTATCCAGCCCAACAGACGAGATAAAAGTTACAGGAGTAAGATCACAATCGAGAATCCATTTTATCGGCTCCAGAAGTTCATTTACAAACAATGTTTGTTGAGCAGGATCCTCGAAACAGTTTGAAAGTATCATTAATCCCTCGTTGAGAGCACAAATTTCGTTTTGACTGGCTTCTATATTAACAGCGAATGTTGCATGGATACGGTCCTTTAACTGGTCAAAAGCTGGGAGTAATATTGCAGAATACCTTCTTGTTATTCTTATGAATAAAGAACAGGCGATATGCCTGAGATTTCTAACAGAGTTACTTCGATTATCACTGTTCTCTCCGGGAAGTTCATAACCAGCCATTTTAAATATTTTTTCCAGCAGAGTGTCGATCAAACTAGGATCTGAAGAAAGAGAATGAGGGATGAAAATAGTCAAGGCGATCGCACATGAAATCTGACAACATAATATCTCAACTGCAACATCACTTTCATCAGATTTTACCAGCACATCAAGAAGGGGAGATCCTTGTTGATGATGCAGCGAAACATCCGTTAGATGATTACACACAGCTCCCAATATGCTTGCTGTGATTTTCCATTCAGCAATGGAAGCGTTTTCCCTTTTCATTTGAGTCGTCATCAAAAGAATTGATGCAAAATTGAAACAAATATCTTCACGATACACAGTCAGAGATCGCACAAGATCAACTAATTCAGCCTTAAACTTTATATAGAAAACATCATAGTCTTCTTCGTCACCGAACTCCATACGAATTGAAGGATCACCAAAGGGTCGTTTAAATAATTTTGTGCATATAAATGACAGCATACTTGTTATTAATGATGCATTGATTAAACTTTGAAGCTCTTTACTTTTAGCCAAATCTCTCCAAAATTGAAGAACAAAAGCATTTAGAATATAATTATCTATACAAAAAAGCGAATGCATTTTTTGAATGTATATTTGCCAGGTTTCCGTGGGAACTTGTTTTAAGGAATGGAGTTGAATTGCTGTCTGTCCCATCATGGTTACAACACTAAAAACCCTCTTAGCAAGAGTGAAATGGTCATTGGAGAAGTTGTTGACGTTAATTTTTGGTCTGGCCAAATCGACGCATTTGAAAATGGAGGTTACATTTTTCGGACAAAAAAGTTTCATTATAATCAAACAGTCTTTTTCTGGAACTTTGCGAAATAGACACGTTAACAGACAGTCTGTTGCTTGCTTTATTATACGCAATTGTTCTCGATGTCGGGCAGGATCAATGTCAGTACCTAAAATATCACACAAAAAAACCAATAAATTTTCATCAAATTTGTACCATTCTAAGAAAGTGGACAAAGTTTGGAGAGCTGCGAAACACAAATCACAATCACCAGAAGCGAAACATTCACCAATATAATTTAAAATTGCAGGATATTTAGATTTCAATTCAACTGTCATATCTTTTCGTCGTTTACCCTTTGAAGGAGAGCAAAAAATTCCTAATTCTTCTGATAGCCTTCCCATGACCATTAAAACACGATCGTTTAGTTTGGACGATAACATGAAATCCGTCAGGTGAGGCCAATTTACGGGCCATTCTCTCTTCATTAACTCCACTACACATTTGGAAATACCCTCTTTAATGAGTTTCAAATCTTTACCAACCAGAGTTTCGCAAACCATCTTCTGGAGAAATACTTTAATTTCATCTTTGGTTGGATTTGAAATTTCATCCCATTTATATTTGATACAATTTTCGACCAGCTGAAATCCAAAGTGTTTAACAGACGGAGTCAAGTCTTCATTTCCACTAAAAGTGATTAATTTGTAGGCAATTTTAATGGTTAAATCCACATTGGGGTTGTTGTTGAGCGCTTCAATCACCATGTGAGCCTCCCTCATTTGATTTTTGTCCAGAATTCCCCGGCGAATTGTGTCAACAGCCTCGATAGTTTTGGGCACATAATGATCTATTTCGGCTTTCAAAGCCTTTTTCATTGACGCTGAGATGAGCAAAATAACAGAAAAGAGAAAGATGAAAAGAGTGAAGAAAGAGACAATAAAGGCGTTTGATACAAATAATAAAATGCGATCATGATTCAAAAATTTCTTACCGTTGCTGTTTTTTCTTTTTACATTCATTGAGCATTATTCAAAGAACAGTTCAATTTGAATTTCAAATTTTGAACTTCTGTGTTTGTTTTCTTTAAGTTTTACTGGTACAGACATCTTACAGATTTTTTTGTAACTAAAGCTTGGTACTAAATATGAAAACTTATAAAGCCATTACATTGTAATGATTACAATGAATAAGAAAGCTTACAGCTTGTAATAGAATGTGTATTGGGAATTGAACATTAGAGAAATTTTAACTTCGAAATAAAATTACCGCTCGACGATCATAATTTAGTTTCATAGTTTATTTCCTGAAGTTCAATTAGACCCAGATTAGAATCATTCAATTTGAGTGTTATATCTCGCTTCAGTCCCTGAAAACTTGAGCTCCATTTGTGAGTATTTTTTCAATGTAATTATCTAAAACATAGCAATTAACAAATTAACAAAAAATCTTATTTTCACAAATTTCTATTCAAAGCAACGTATCGGTGTGAGTAAGCAATTTGTGTTTGTACTCAAAATCATGATAAATAGAATAAAATTTTCGTAATTTATAAATACCAAAATAGGTAGAGAAGGATATGCTCGAAGCGCTAGAGTTTGAAATTATTTTGGCCAGTGTACATTACCGATGATCGTAAAGAACCTCGTTGGGAATAATTTCCTCCTTGACGGGATCTCTCGGAGTTGCATTATCATCTTTATATTCACAAGGAGTTCTTAACGATTTTGGATGAAGTTGATTGGATGGATGCAAATACCACTCAAAGAGCAAGAGAAAAGGCCAATGCCATTGTTTCTTACATTGGATATCCTGACGAGCTTTTGAACAACAGTAAAGTTGGCGAACTATACACTAATGTACGTTTCCAAAACAATTTACTGATGATTGCTTTTGATTGTTTTTCAATTTCATCAATATTGAGAAACAAATGATTGCGATGGTTGACAGTTGAGCAAATTTACTTGTTGCAAAACACTCATCAGAATAACCTTGCCTAGTATTGTCAATTTGACATAAATTTTTGTCATCAAGGAAATTAACAGTTGGGATGTTTATTTATTGTTGATCCCTAATTAGACATCAATCACATCTTTAATAATGTGTGATTAGTTATTATTTTAATCTTTCTTTGTTCAGCCTGGAAACTCTAGCTGAATCAAATATTATGATTGATAGCTTGTTTACATTCTTTCTTTTTATATTTCTCACTTCAATAGTTATCATTGGTAGAGAGAAGCTATTTCACCAATGTCCAAAACCTTCGAAAATGGTCAACTGATTTTGCATTCAACAAACTTCGCAAACCCAATCTTAAAGGAGAATGGACCAAACACGCTCGAGCTGCTGTAGTCAATGCTTATTACAATGCTCTCGAAAATAGTATTGAATTCCCTGCAGGTATTCTTCAAGGATCATTCTTCAGTAAAGATCGACCAAAGTAAGTTTCTCACAAAAATTCAAAAAGATCAAGTTATTAAACTTTCTTATTCTAAATCATTTTAGTTATCTCAATTTCGGTGCCATTGGATTCGTTATTGGTCATGAAATCACTCATGGTTTTGATGATCGAGGTAGACAATTCGATAAAGATGGTAACAATAAAAACTGGTGATAAAAAGCATGGTTAAAATATTTCTTCAAAGCAATAAGGATACCAAGTGATAATTTTTTACTACACGAAATAAGGTATGACTGGTAAAGCCTGACGATCAATTAAAAAAATTTATTTATTCATTTGTGTTATTGAAAGAAGATTTTTATGTATTTATGTTCATTTTTTTCTTCTTCATGGATAATAATCGATTACAATAATCTAAATATTAATAATATTATTACACATTTTTTATTCAGTTATTTTATGTTTTAATAAGTTTAAAGTTTTCATACTTTGTGCCAACCAGCAGTTCCAACAAAATCTGTAAGATGTCTGCACTCAGCAACACACATTTTCTAAGTCACCTTAAAATTAACTCCTTAAAATTAATTAATTAACTCGTTAATTAGTAGTTTTATACAAAATTTAATATTATAATTGTGTTCTCCACGGTCAATTACCCCACCTGTCGCCCTCACAGTCTTAATCGAATCTTTCATCCACTCAAAATCAACTTACCTGTCCAGCATGGCTTTACCTGAAGCAACCCTTGACTACACCAAGTTGAAGAAGACCAGCAACACTGCGGAAATACTATCTGCTCTCAACAATATGGAAGTTACCTCTATTCTTTTTCAGATGCGAGATAATTTAACCAAATTTACGGAAGAAACATTAACCTTGATGAGCAACACCGCCAGAACAAAATTTGAAAAGCAAAAAGACAACTTTTTAAGTGCAACATTGACGATGATAGACTATGTAGCTAAAGACCAGAATATCGCGGGTATTAGTAATGGCGACATCTCAAAACTAGCTGACAATATATCTAAAAAGCTATTACCAACCATAGCCAATCAACAGACTGCCAAAAGAACAACCACCAAGGCAGCGAAACCAACCAGATTTATAGTTAAATCGACTGATGCAACAATCAGCTGTGATACCATCGTAAAAGAAATAGCAGAGATAGCTAAATCTGACCCGTCAATTCAACTGACAGAAGTTAAGAAAGGCTTGACAGCTGTTAAGGTTTCAACTACACAATCTGCTTCAAAAACTAAAGTCATCAATAAACTTAAAGAACGCTCCTTTGGACCGAAATTGGAAATGAAAAATGTCGAGATGCTTCTACCTCAAGTCTCAGTCATCATAGAAGAATACTCATGTGAGGATGCTGAAATGATCAAGAAAAGGAATGATATACCTGACAGTGAAGAAGTCAAAATTGTCACAACCTATGACCTTCCCCAACGCAACAAAACTAACAAGAAAAAAGTTATAATCCGACTAAGCAGACAAGCAAGACAAATCATTGAAGATCGAGGTCGAATCAACATTGGCTGTGAATCAGTTAGATTTAAAGATAATTATTATATCAAAACATGTACGAATTGTATATCAATAGGACACACAAAAAACCAATGCAACAACGCCGCCACCTGTTATAAATGTGAACAAGACCACGTGTCTTCATCATGTGAAGCTGATCCTCAAAACAACTGCCTTCTGTGTAAAAAGATCAACGATCCTAAGCTTAATTTAAAACACAAACCAAAAAGCTCTGAATGTCTTGCCTATCATCTAGCCATCAAAAACCTTCAATCACTCATCGACTGGGACTACGAAAATGATCAACATTAGTGATTTAAATTGTGGAAATAGTTTAGTAACAACCAACAACATAGTTCAAAGTGTACCATATCATAACCAAATTGTACTAATACAAGAACCGAATAACTTGGCTTTAACATCCATTAACAATCATGAAATTCAAATAATTCAAAATAATCGTGCAGCTATAATTACACTTCGCCGAGCAATCAATAAAATTTTCAACATCCCACCGGACATCATATCAGCCATAATCAACGTGAAAGGAATTAAAATACTATGTTTTTCAATTTACATATCTCCAGTATCTACAACTCAAGAATACGAAAGAATCATCAATCAAATTCAACGTGTTATATCAAGCAATGTAAATCTTCCAATAATCCTAGGTGGTGATGTCAATTGTGTCAACAATTCATGGTCGCATGAAATTTATGACAGAAACATTCACAAAGGAGAACTCATTAAAGACTTTTTAATGACCAACAATTTAACAATTTTAAATAAACCCACATCAAACAATTGGACTTTTAAAAGACCCAGCTCAAATCCACAATGGATAGACTTCATTTCAACCAACCTCAGCAATCACTACATCAATTTTAGTCAATCAACCATGATCACTCATCTGAACAACAATGACCATAATGAAATAACAACCAAAATTGAAGTAAAAGACAAAGTTAAACCAAATCCACCTGAAAAAAGATTCCAACACCAAGTCTACCTTAACATTATCACAAATAAGATATTCAACAAAAACATTGAAACCATTAAGGATGTGAATGACTTATTTTGGGACCTAATTGAAACTACAGTCAAATCTTATCATGATAAAAGATTTTGGAAATCAGTAAAGAAGATTGGATGGCGGAAACAAATAGTCAATGAACAAACCTTGAAGAACATCAAAAAATCACTCTGTATGATTGGCAAATCAATTCACTAACAGCCTGTGCAATATTAGGAAGGCAACCATCATGGGCTAAAATTATTGAAGTTGGCCTCAAAAGCTACTACTCTGATCTCTTCAACAGAGGAGAAACTGAAAAAAGTATGATCATTTTCAACAAATATCCTAATCTTGCACCAGACGTGAGAAACGACAAACTGTGGTGGGGAATCAACTCGATGGTTATTGGCAAAACAACAAACCTGGTTATGGAACAATGGATTAAAGAAGATCCAGATAATTACAAACTAATTGGAAAATGGAAATTGATTGGATCCAAAACCAGATTTGATCGACATCTGTCAACAGTATTGGGAAAATACAAGTATCTCACAAATGAAACTAACTGCATCTGCAACGCACAAACAAATGACCCCATACACTGGGTAAATCATCGCCCCACAGTAGACCATTTAAGATCAATACTACTTAACACCCTTAACATAGAAACTTCTGAATTAATCCACAGCTACCTTACATCCCCTTATTCCCACCCTTATTATGACCTATTAGAGGAAATATATCAAACACATATCCTTCCCAGAATGATAAAATATCAAACAACAAAATCAAAGAAAAGATCATTACCCCATCCTCCAGCAATCAAAAGAAAAAGACCTCAAATACACCTAAATTAAATTCAGCCACATAAACATGTTTAAACCTAGCTCCAAAAGATCACATTGTTATAATTTCATCAACGGGAATGCGCAATAAGCACCCCTCTTTTGTATACCTGTCTGAGTCACCTTAATAAAATTCTAGTGTAAGTCACCTTAAAATTACCTCCTTAAAATTAATTAATTAACTCGTTAATTAGTAGTTTTATACAAAATTTAATATTATAATTGTGTTCTCCACGGTCAATTACCCCACCTGTCACCCTCACAGTCTTAATCGAATCTTTCATCCACTCAAAATCAACTTACCTGTCCAGCATGGCTTTACCTGAAGCAACCCTTGACTACACCAAGTTGAAGAAGACCAGCAACACTGCGGAAATACTATCTGCTCTCAACAATATGGAAGTTACCTCTATTCTTTTTCAGATGCGAGATAATTTAACCAAATTTACGGAAGAAACATTAACCTTGATGAGCAACACCGCCAGAACAAAATTTGAAAAGCAAAAAGACAACTTTTTAAGTGCAACATTGACGATGATAGACTTTGTAGCTAAAGACCAGAATATCGCGGGTATTAGTAATGGCGACATCTCAAAACTAGCTGACAATATATCTAAAAAGCTATTACCAACCATAGCCAATCAACAGACTACCAAAAGAACAACCACCAAGGCAGCGAAACCAACCAGATTTATAGTTAAATCGACTGATGCAACAATCAGCTGTGATACCATCGTAAAAGAAATAGCAGAGATAGCTAAATCTGACCCGTCAATTCAACTGACAGAAGTTAAGAAAGGCTTGACAGCTGTTAAGGTTTCAACTACACAATTTGCTTCAAAAACTAAAGTCATCAATAAACTTAAAGAACGCTCCTTTGGACCGAAATTGGAAATGAGAAATGTCGAGATGCTTCTACCTCAAGTCTCAGTTATCATAGAAGAATACTCATGCGAGGATGCTGAAATGATCAAGAAAAGGAATGATATACCTGACAGTGAGGAAGTCAAAATTGTCACAACCTATGACCTTCCCCAACGCAACAAAACTAACAAGAAAAAAGTTATAATCCGACTAAGCAGACAAGCAAGACAAATCATTGAAGATCGAGGTCGAATCAACATTGGCTGTGAATCAGTTAGATTTAAAGATAATTATTATATCAAAACATGTACGAATTGTATATCAATAGGACACACAAAAAACCAATGCAACAACGCCGCCACCTGTTATAAATGTGAACAAGACCACGTGTCTTCATCATGTGAAGCTGATCCTCAAAACAACTGCCTTCTGTGTAAAAAGATCAACGATCCTAAGCTTAATTTAAAACACAAACCAAAAAGCTCTGAATGTCTTGCCTATCATCTAGCCATCAAAAACCTTCAATCACTCATCGACTGGGACTACGAAAATGATCAACATTAGTGATTTAAATTGTGGAAATAGTTTAGTAACAACCAACAACATAGTTCAAAGTGTACCATATCATAACCAAATTGTACTAATACAAGAACCGAATAACTTGGCTTTAACATCCATTAACAATCATGAAATTCAAGTAATTCAAAATAATCGTGCAGCTATAATTACACTTCGCCGAGCAATCAATAAAATTTTCAACATCCCACCGGACATCATATCAGCTATAATCAACGTGAAAGGAATTAAAATACTATGTTTTTCAATTTACATATCTCCAGTATCTACAACTCAAGAACACGAAAGAATCATCAATCAAATTCAACGTGTTATATCAAGCAACGTAAATCTTCCAATAATCCTAGGTGGTGATGTCAATTGTGTCAACAATTCATGGTCACATGAAATTTATGACAGAAACATTCACAAAGGAGAACTCATTAATGACTTTTTAATGACCAACAATTTAACAATTTTAAATAAACCCACATCAAACAATTGGACTTTTAAAAGACCCAGCTCAAATCCACAATGGATAGACTTCATTTCAACCAACCTTAGCAATCACTACATCAATTTTAGTCAATCAACCATTATCACTCATCTGAACAACAATGACCATAATGAAATAACAACCAAAATTGAAGTAAAAGACAAAGTTAAACCAAGTCCACCTGAAAAAAGATTCCAACACCAAGTCTACCTTAATATTATCACAAATAAGATATTCAACAAGAACATTGAAACCATTAAGGATGTGAATGACTTATTTTGGGACCTAATTGAAACTAAAGTCAAATCTTATCATGATAAAAGATTTTGGAAATCAGTAAAGAAGATCGGATGGCGGAAACAAATAGTCAATGAGCAAACCTTGAAGAACATCAAAAAATCTAACACCAAAGATAAAGAATATAAAAAAGCACTCTACAGAAGCATGTACAAGCAAATCGCCAAATTTTTCAGTGAATCAAAGGAATCTAAAGACATTTGGAAAAAAGTTAACCTATTCATTGACAATCATGAAAAACCATTAGACAAAGAATATCAACAAAATGTCGACAAGGTCCTGAGCAGCTTTAATCACGATTTCAACCAGATAACTAAAACAACAACGTTCCCACTCAAAAATAATGACTTCTCAATGGATCAACAACAATTGCTGTTGAATCTTGGAAAACTAAACAACAAAGCTGCTCCAGGCTTTGATGATATACCAATAAACTTAATTAAAAAATTGATTGAGAAAGCACCTGGAAAAATGTGTAAAATATTCTCACTTATTTTACAACATTCATTCTTCCCTGATGCCCTCAAACTTTCATCAAAAGTCCTTATACCCAAATCGGATGGTAAACGAACAAGACCACTATCGCTCCAATCAAACTTTTCAAAGCTCATTGAGTCAATTATTTTGGATAAACTCAAAGAAAAGATGGATAAGAATCTCTTTATTGGGCAACATGCTTATCAAGACAACAAAAGTATTACTACGGCGCTTTTGGAAGTTTCAGAGAGTATCTCTTCGATGCAACCCAACACACCTAGCATATTTTTGGCTGATATTGAATCAGCCTTTGATATGATAGATCATTCAGGAATAATTAACAAATTAATAGAAAGTAGAATTGATAACAATACATTAAATTTGATTAGGAGCTACCTCAGTAATAGATATATGCTAACAATAGATAGGAAGTCAGTTAAATCAAAAGCAGTCAACAGAGGAGTTCCGCAAGGATCTGTTCTGGGACCATTCCTATTTATTACAGGAATACAGAATATTATAAATTACCTAAATAATGACAATCTCTCTCAACCTCCAATCTTTAAATACAAACAAACCTGTAATGACCCAACTCCATTGAGGATCAAAACCATTGGCTATGCCGATGACTTGATCTTCTTAATCCCACCTAGGTTAATAGACAAATCAGAACATGCAATAATGAGCACAACAATCATAATTAGGAAACTACTTGAGCTACTAAAACCTCTTAACCTTTCAATACTACCTCAAAAATCCAAACTAATAGTAGATTACAAAACAAGATTAAACATTAAAAAAATTCCCAACTTCAACATTGAGACAATAACAGAAACGAAGCTACTAGGAATAGACCTCTCACTCATGAAAACACATAAATTTAGTTTTGAGAAAATAATTCAAAAAGTCAACCTAACATCGGCTAGATTACTCTCTGAAAATCCCAAAATAAAGCACATGCCACTAAATATACTTAAAATGATCAATTCATCTAAAATTGAATCGCTACCCAGAACTTATAGCAAGATAATCATGCCTCAATTAATTGAGTCACCATCTCTTAGAAACAGACTTGAGTACTCTTGCTCAAGAATAATCAGAAAAGCCACTCTGTATGATTGGCAAATCAATTCATTAACAGCCTGTGCAATATTAGGAAGGCAACCATCATGGGCTAAAATTATTGAAGTTGGCCTCAAAAGCTACTACTCTGATCTCTTCAACAGAGGAGAAATTGAAAAAAGTATGATCATTTTCAACAAATATCCTAATCTTGCACCAGACGTGAGAAACGACAAACTGTGGTGGGGAATCAACCCGATGGTTATTGGCAAAACAACAAACCTGGTTATGGAACAATGGATTAAAGAAGATCCAGATAATTACAAACTAATTGGCAAATGGAAATTGATTGGATCCAAAACCAGATTTGATCGACATCTGTCAACAGTATTGGGAAAATACAAGTATCTCACAAATGAAACTAACTGCATCTGCAACGCACAAACAAATGACCCCATACACTGGGTAAATCATTGCCCCACAGTAGACCATCTAAGATCAATACTACTTAACACCCTTAATATAGAAACTTCTGAATTAATCCACAGCTACCTTACATCCCCTTATTCCCACCCTTATTATGACCTATTAGAGGAAATATATCAAACACATATCCTTCCCAGAATGATAAAATATCAAACAACAAAATCAAAGAAAAGATCATTACCCCATCCACCAGCAATCAAAAAGAAAAAGACCTCAAATACACCTAAATTAAATTCAGCCACATAAACATGTTTAAACCTAGCTCCAAAATATCACATTGTTATAATCTCATCAACGGGAATGCGCAATAAGCACCCCTCTTTTGTATACCTGTCTGAGTCACCTTAATAAAATTCTACTTTCTTCATCTTGATTTCATTTTGTAAACAACTGCCTTATGGGCTCTTTCTTTATTCTCTTTCTCTTTATCGTTTTCGTTTCTGCTTAATATTCGATTAAATCAAATTCCTATTTTCCCTATTTATTTTATTACATCGATCCTTGTTATTTTGTTATCTTAATTACAATGGCAAATCTTTTGGGCTCTGACGTGGATAGTTGCGTGCTCAAAACTATCGAGGCTGTTGACACAATTCGCCGGGGAATTTTGGACCAAAATCAAATGAGGGAGGCGCACATGGTGATTGAAGCGCTCAACAGCAATCCTAACGTTGATTCAACTCTTCCAATTGCCTACAAATTAATCACTTTTAGTGGAAATGAAGACTTGACTCAGTCTGTTAAACATTTTGGACTTCAACTGGTCGAAAATTGTATCAAATATAAATGGAATGAAATTTCAAATCCAACCAAAGATGAAATTAAAGCAGTTCTCCAGAAGATGATTTGCGAAACTCTGGTTGGTAAAGATTTGAAACTTATTAAAGAGGGTATTTCCAAATGCGTAGTGGAAGTAATGAAAAGAGAATGGCCCGGAAATTGGTCTCACCTTATGGGTTTCATGTTGTCTCTAAAGCTTAACGATCGTGTACTATTCATCATCGGTAGACTAAGTGAGGAATTAGGAATTTTTTACTCGCCTGCAAACCGTGATCGACGAAGAGACATGACAATTGAATTGAAAGCCAACTACCCTGCTATTTTAAATTATATTGGTGAATGTTTGGTTTCTGGTGATTGTGATTTGTGTTCTGCTGCTCTCCGAACTTTGTCTCCTTTCTTGGAATGGCACACATTTGATGAATCTTTGTTAATTTTTCTATGTGATATTTTAGCTATGGACATTGATCCTGCCCGGGATCGAGAACAAATATTTATAAAGACACAAACAACAGACTGTCTATTAACGTGCTTATTTCGCAAAGGTTCAAAAAAAGATCGTATAGGCATAATGGACCTTTTTTGTCCGAAAAATGTAACCTCCATTTTTAAATGCATCGATATGGTCATACCAAAAATTAGCGTCAACAATTTCTTCAATGATCATTTCACTCTTGCTAAAAGGGTTTTTAGTGTTGTAACCATGATGGGACAGACAGCAATTCAACTGCATTCAGTTAAACAACTTCCCATGGAAACCTGGCAAATATACATTCAAAAAATGCATTCGCTTTTTTGTATAGATAATTATATTCTAAATGCTTTTGTTCTCCAGTTTTGGAGAGATTTGGCTAAAAGTAAAGAGCTTCAAACTTTAATCACTGAATCATTGTTAACGAGTTTACTTTCAATGATTCCGGAAAAATTATTTAAACGACCCTTCGGTGATCCTTCAATTCCAATGGAGTTCGACGACGAAGAAGACTATGATGTTTTCTATATTAAGTTTAAAGCTGAATTAACTGATCTTGTGCGATCTCTGACTGTATATCGTGAAGATATTTGTTTCAATTTTGCGTCAAATCTTTTGATGGCAACGCAAGCTAAGAAGGAAAACGGACCCGATCCTAGTGCCAATGCCAAATGGGAAATCACAGCGCACATCTTGGAAGCTGTGTGTAATCGTCTTACAAATGTTTCACTTTATTATCAACAAGGATCTCCTCTTCTCAATATGCTGGTAAAATCTGATGGAACTGATCTCGCAGTTGATATATTATCCTGTCATCTTTCATGTATATCTGCCTTGACTGTGTTCGTTCCTCATTTACTTTCTCAAGAACCTAATTTGATTGGCGCTCTTCTTGAAAAAATGTTCAAACTGGCTGGATATGAGCTTCCCGGAGAACGCAAAGACAATCGAAGCAACTCTGTTAGAAATCTCAGGCGATATGCTTGTGCCTTATTCGTTAAACTAACGCGAGCCTATTCTAAAATATTATTCCCGATTTTTGGCCAGTTAAAAGATCATATCCACAAAACATTCGCTGTTAATATAGAGTCCAGTCAAACTGAAATTTGTACTCTCAACGAGGGATTAATGATACTTTCAAACTGTTTCGAGGATCCTGCTCAACAAATATTGTTTGTAAATGAACTCCTGGAGCCAATAAAATGGTTCCTCGAGTGCTACCTTACTCCTGCAACTTTTATCTCATCTGTTGGACTGGACACGGCCCCTACTGATTTCGATTCTAAAGGGCAAACTCGTGCTCAATTAATGTATGCCATATCAACTCTATTGGGTCTTCTCAAACGAATAAAAAAGAAAGAAGTTCTCTATTCGCCTGTTATGGCCTTCATGAATCCCCTCTGTAACCTATTGTCTAATCTGAATTCTCTTTGGAATCAAGAAATGATGATGATTTGCCATGCTGATTATCGTCCAATTGTTTTCGCGCCCGTCACTGAAAATGATCGTTTAACTCTTTTGGAAATCCATGGTACTAGTCATGAAACAAATGAAGCCTGTAACCCAGCTAAAAGTCCAGCCTCACGGATGCAAAAATTTTTATGGACTATTCAAGATAATTGCTACTCAGCTATTGGTTGTGCTTACTCGTTAATCATCCCCGAGCTACATTTAGAATTTAACAACATCACCTTAGCACTGGCTGGGTTTGAAAATCTTCCTCCAATGAAATTGAAAACTCTAATTCGATCGTTTTTGAAACCATTCCTCATCAATTATCCTGTCAACGATTTGAATGTTTTAGAGAACAAGTTTTTGCCATTTGTAAAGCAAGTTTTGCCCGTTCTGTTCAACAGAATTGATAGTTCATGCAAAACAATCCGTGAACGAGAATACGTTAAAGAAAAAACTGAAATGGAACGTGAGATTGTGGAAGAGAAAGTTATTCGAGCTCTGTCAATAGACTTTGTTGACCTCCTAAGCTCTCTAATTGTATCCTCCAAAGGTGGCCGAAAAGCTGAAAATCCAATGGATGAAGATGATTGGGAAATGAGAGAAACAAATGAGCAAAATAACAAACCAGTTGAGCAAAGCGCCTCTTACCTTGGAGATTACCTCATTAAAAATTTGCCCAGCATCATTACTCAGATTTGTTTTCAATGTTTGAATTGGCCAGACTCAACAGTTTCATGGAAAGCTGGTTCTCTGTGTGAAGTCGTTCTTGCTCGTCTAATTGAACACGTCATGGTCCGTAATCCATCAGACTGTCTATTTTTACTAGAAAATATTTGTAAAGCTTTAGGATATTTTGGTGAATACGAGCAAAATCGTGGAATATGCTTGCAGTTGATTTCGACTATTTATGAAAGCTTAATACTCCCAATGCAATTCGACTCTGTTAAACACCACCTCATTCAATTATCGGATGGAAACATGAATAAATGGATTCAATTTGAAGAAAATTGGATTCGTAAGCCACCAAAAAATAAAAATGTCCAAAAAGGTAGACGAGAAGCGTTGAAAGAGCTTTTAGATCCAATAATTGGTAAAAGCTTAGCCATAATGGGAAGAAAACAACAAGACGGAGGAGGAAATTTAATTTCAACAATAAGACGGAAAAAAACAACAGATGTTTTTAACGATGTGACTTTATATTTATATGAACTTTTTATTTGATAGGGACTTATATTAATTAAAAGCAGTAAATGTATTGTAAATTCGATAACTGCTCATCAAATTCCCAAAAAAACATTTTCGTCTCTCAATAGCTCAATCAAAATTACACCATCATAACTTTTTGAATATTTACAACCGATGCTATTGTTTGTCTTTGTTTTGTTATAAAAACTTCTAAATATCTTAAAGCTAATAAAATTATATTATCGGTCTACTAAATCAAAATCAATCTGATTTATTTGATAAAATTCATGATTCGATTGTTTCTGTTTAAAAATCTAACTGCAAATTTATTGGATAAAATTCATTACCCAGTCGAGTGATACATTGACGCCATTCAATGAGTGCAGTGAGAAATTGTCAGATTTGCGCTAAATATATGTAATGTAAAATATTTGCGTTAAACGCGAAAAGACAAATGACTCTGGCGTTTTTTTTGCAAAAAATCTTAGTGAGCGTGAAACGCGCTTCAATATAGCAATTTTCACTCGACTGGGTATGAAGTTTAATTCAGCCATAAGGAGTTGAGGTATAAACATATTGATTGGAGACAAGAAGTATTTTATTTTTGTAGAAAAAAATGAATTTAATTGCTATAATAGAGTCAGAAGTGACTGTTTGACCCGCAGTCAAAAAGTCTACCAACTACAAAATAGTCAAAGTACAATGAAAGGCGTTATAATCAAGGTAGACAACAGTGAGAAAAGATTTTTTAGAAAGACATGGAAGACAAGGAAAGGTGTAAAGATGATAAGTTTACAATGGTATATAATTTAAAAAGAAAATAAAACTTAATCAACTCAGTTTCTCTTCTATTCATCGAAAATTGAACTAGAATCAATAATCTCTTCAATGTTAATCTCAGATTGTGTATCATAGAGGTTAGGTGCACTGCAATCGGTAGCATGATTCAAAATGTCATACAATAAGAGATAACTATCGATTGTTGATTTTGTTATAATTTCAAAGTTTAAATTGTATGTCATGTAATTTTTTTGAAAAAATCCATTGTAGTTGATTAATTGATAAAATGAAATAATTGGAGCAGCGTTGAATAATATCTTGAATTTGCCTTTGAGGTGAGGGTTTATGACCAATTTAGTTGATTTGTAGTAGGGTTGAAAAGAATTGAGATGATGAGTGAAGAAATAATGAGAATGATCATGAAGATGTAGGTGATTAAAATGGTGATAGCGATGAGAATGTGATTATGTTTGTAATGAAGTTAAATAGTGAGGGCAAAGCTTTCAAATCAGTACTTTCAAAAATGTACACTTGTTTTATCACTATCCATACCAGACTATTCAAAAAATCATTATCATCACAATAATTAATGATGCAGTAACAATTATTGTTATCCTTAATACTCTTAAGAAGTCTTTAGCAACCTTGCTTTTTATTACCAAACGTGGCATTTCTTCTGTGGGTTCATTGGCGTTCCTCTTGGACATTTAAAGCTCTTTGAAAATTCTTCGATGTTGGACATTGGCCCAATAACTCTGTAATCAGATAAGTTATACAAAATTATAAGATAATGTCTATTTGTCTGGAAATTAATAGGAAATTTACCTGAATCTAGATGGACTGTGAGATCCTAATGATACACGAAGTCGAAGAACTTCTGGGCGATACTTTCCACACCAAACCTACGAAAATGATTATTAATTAGTAACAGATAATAATTAGAAGTGTAAATATCTATCGCAAGATATATTTTCCAAGTCCGATGGATCCAATCATATAGGATCGCAAGGTGGCTGCGACAGACATTCAATAGAATACTTACATTAGCAGCACTTATCCAGAATAATTGGTCTGTTGAATAACTTAAACCGGGTAAGGTTGGTTCTTTGCCATGGTCGAAGACCCATTTTTGATAAGCCTGGATTTGACACAAAGAACAATTGATATAAGTATGAAAACAATAAGGTACATTTAAAACATCCAATCAATCTGAAATAATTCTTACCCTGAAAGCTTCCTTAAGACCACCATTGTCAGCAATATTTTCTCCTTGAGTGTTAATTCCGTTAACTTTCATTCCATTTTCGGGAAGAGTGTAATTACCGTACTGGTCAATAATACATTGAGTACGAGAACGGAATTTCTGATCAGTAACATGATCCCACCAGTTTTTATTGTTACCATCTTTATCGAATTGTCTACCTCGATCATCAAAACCATGAGTGATTTCATGACCAATAACGAATCCAATGGCACCGAAATTCAGATAACTAAAATGATTTAGAATAAGAAAGTTTAATAACTGGATCTTTTTGAATTTTAGTGAAAACTTACTTTGGTCGATCTTTACTGAAGAATGATCCTTGAAGAATACCTGCAGGGAATTCGATACTATTTTCGAGAGCATTGTAATAAGCATTGACTACAGCAGCTCGAGCGTGTTTGGTCCATTCTCCTTTAAGATTGGGTTTGCGAAGTTTATTAAATGCGAAATCAGTTGACCATTTTCGAAGGTTTTGGACATTGGTGAAATAGCTTCTCTCTACCAATGATAACTATTGAAGTGAGAAATATAAAAAGAAAGAATGTAAACAAGCTATCAATCAAAATATTTGATTCAGCCAGAGTTTCCAGGCTGAACAAAGAAAGATTAACATAATAACTAATCACACATTATTAAAGATGTGATTGATGTCTAATTAGGGATCAACAATAAATAAACATCCCAACTGCTAATTTCCTTGATGACAAAAATTTATGTCAAATTGACAATACTAGGCAAGGTTATTCTGATAAGTGTTTTGCAACAAGTAAATTTGCTCAACTGTCAACCATCGCAATCATTTGTTTCTCAATATTAATGAAATTGAAAAACAATCAAAAGCAATCATCAGTAAATTGTTTTGGAAACGTACATTTGTGTATAGTTCGCCAACTTTACTGTTGTTCAAAAGCTCGTCAGGATATCCAATGTAAGAAACAATGGCATTGGCCTTTTCTCTTGCTCTTTGAGTGGTATTTGCATCCATCCAATCAACTTCATCCAAAATCGTTAAGAACTCCTTGTGAATATAATTAACCATTTCTAGTGCCTAATTGAAATAAAAATAAAAACAAAGAAAAAAATAGTTAATAAGCATTATAATAAAATTAGGCACCGATTTGTGTTTGAGTGATTAAGTGTCAATGCCTGTGAGTTACATTGTATAAAAAATCATTAAACTAACCATATATTTACTGCCTTCTTTAAAGTGATTTTTAACATATAGTGATGATAATGCAACTCCGAGAGATCCAGTCAAGGAGGACATACATTGTTCCCAACGAGGTTCTTCACGATCTTGTCCAGTTATAACCTTGTTATACTCTTGTGCCAACTCTCTCCATCGTTTACCTAAGGTAGTGTAACATTGAAGTACAATCCTCCACATCATGTAGTTAGCGACGATCCTAGCAAGCAATACAAAATAAAATAGTTAGATAAAACAACGATCAGAAAAAGTATGGATAAAATGATAAAAATCTTGAATGTTTACATTTCCTTGCATGTAAAATAAACTTTACTATCCATTATTATCAAGATCTGTCATTGAAAAAGCTTGTTTTAGCCTGACTAATATTAAATTGACAATCACAGTTCAACTAGTAGTGATAAGTCATTTCAAAGATATCTTTATTCGGTTCAGGTATTGACAGTAATGTCGATGAATGAACATTTAGTGGAATAAACATCGAATCCATAAAATTTTTGATGAATTAGGATTAGAATAGTAAAAGTCATATTGTGAACAAAAGGAATGAATTCCTTGTGATCGCTGATTATTGCAAATTGGTTAAATGGTTGCATTAGCACAATCATTTATTGATATTGTCTAATTGTCTTTTTGCTCTCATTGATAGTTTCTCAACTTGTTTTAAACAATCTCAGTCTTGACTCTATCATTCTCTTTATACAACAATTAAAACTACTAAATACAATTCTTTGAGAAGTGAAAATTGGAATAGGTTAATAGTAAGAAAAAAAGAAGGAAAAACGAAAGTCATCAAGTTATTTTCACTCGATACTAAATAATGTCGAGTAAAGCTCCCATTTAAATTATAATGATCTTGATGATTGTTGATCATTGCTTACCTGCCATCAGTTTCAACAAGAAGTTTGTCCAATTTTTTAAGATATGTTGGAACGTTAACCAAAACAAGTTCATTTGGTGGGATGGGATCATTGAGAAGGTAATTAAAGAATCGAGACCAATTTACCTGGAAAAGGAGGTAAAGGTGAAAAAGAAAAAAAAGGTTGAAGGTGAGATACGGAAAAGGTGAACAGACAGTAAAAAGGATGAGCGAGAAAGTAAAAGGATAAAAAGTGAAGATAGAAGAAAGAAGATGACGAAAAAAAATTGATGATTTACCACAAGTACATTTAATGATGTGCTTGTAATTAAATAAAAACTGGATCGACAAGAATTGAAACCTTATACAAGGTTTGATTTTCAGTTAAAATACTAATGAATACTTACGTTTGGAGCAATTGTCTCAATTTCTTTAACTGTCATCAAATTGTAGAGCAAACTGATATTTCTTCGTTCCTCTCTTGGTATGGAGAACTATCGAGATAGAAAATAAAACATACAAATTAAGATAACGAATCGACGAAAAGTGTTTTCAGTGTTTAAATGGTTTCTTCTAATAATGACTTTACAAAAAACAAACATGAAACAATTAGATTTAAGCATCAGTCCTAACTTATATAAATATCAAAGTTGCATGACTTGACATTCATCAAAGTAAACTGAGTCACATCTTCAACAGATCATACGAATTCTACGAGCATTTTCTTTAGGTATACAATGTTGACTAATGAATTATTTCAGTGGTATTGCAACTAAAGAATCGTAGGTTGATCAAAGAAATCAAAACTTTGATGCAAATAGCAATAGAATAACTTTTTTTGTTCAGTAACTTACATTGGCCAAAATGGTTTCAAATGCAAGTGCTTCGAGCATATCTTTTTCTGCCTTTTGACGATCAGCACCCAACATAACTGCAGATTCAACCATCAATTTGTAGTAACCCTGAACTGCAGAGTCGTTGAGACCACGGAGAAGATAGCTTCTGTCAGGCATACCGAGAGTTGCTTGATCCAGCTAAAAACAAGAATAAGTTGTTATCAAATAGGACCAAATACAAATATTAGCCTGAAAATTCATTTTTTCTGGTCTATCGGTCTATCCTAAACTCCACTTACATCAATTACATGTCGAGTATTATTCCGATAGTCGGTGTTAACCGATAAATCCATCAAAATATCATGACTGAAACCAGCTTTCCTAAATTTGATCAAACTATCGAGCCAATTGAAAGATGATGCATTCCATTTATCTTGTTCCAATACAGGCCAACCTCCAAGCTCATTCAAAGTTTCAAGGACAGGTTCATTACCAACTCTCTCAATTTCAGCTGATGAATAGTAATGTCCAGAAAAAGAAAGAATTAGTAATATGATCATAAAAACAATTTTACGCAATTATATCCAAACAATGGATGACTTCGAAACAAAAGACATTAAATGTAGCAAGTAGAGTGTTTAACTACCATTTAATCGAAAAATGATTGATAAAAGACAATCAATTGTTTCCAGCGCCAAAGAAATGTTAAAATAAAGTATACTTACTCAGATTCATGCATGATTTGTACATGCTTCGAAGCATTGTGTAAAATCGAGGCTCATTAGGCTCAGCTTCACTCTCAACCAAAACTTTGATTAAAGATGATTTAGGAAAAATAAAATAAAATAAAATGACGTTTAATTAAAATTTATCAAATACGAGAAAATTACTTTTTGATAAAATGTAAACAGAAAAATCGTTGCACTTGATAAGTTACTTACCTCTTAACTTGTTATTTAAGTCATCTTGAATTGCGGAAAAAACTGAAACAGAAGTTCTATCCTCTGGAATAGTATGACGATCAAGCCATCCTCCGCACGCAAATTTGTAGAAATCATCGCATGGATCGACGCTATTGTCAACATTTCTTATAATATCAGCAGCTAATAAAGAAAGAAAAATAAGAGTTAAAAATGGCAATTGTCTGCTGATGACCAAAAGTTTAACTGATAAGGTTGTCAGCAGCAACGTAAGCTTACCCGCGGAAACACATCCTTTTGTTAAACAAACAGTTTGTTGTGATTGTGATTCTTCAAGTGAATTGTAGATATGGTGATCTTCTGCTCCTATTAATTTATCTGCGGTAGCACTAACACCAAGGCCGTTTACTATATAATACCATTAATCAGCAACAGATAATTGACGATAAGGGAAAGGATGATGTAAAGATGGATTTAAAGAAATACAAAGAAAAGATTTACATTAAAAACCGTTAGATAAACAAGTTAATCATAAAATGGTAAGAATTAAATATTTTTTGTTCGAAAAGACCGGTACTCGAAATGCCAATCACAAAAATGAAAGCCTTGAAAGGGTAACTAATCAATTCTCTATTGAACCAACACAGCAAGCTATTATGGCAAAACTATGGAAATGATGTAACGGTCAGCCATGAGATACATTGCAACTGATTATATGGTAAAAATACATGGCAAATTTGGTTAAAGATGAATCCTGTTTTCAGTGTTGATTTGTAAAGACATGGCACTCATTTTTTTACTCGCACCTTGGAAAATTCCTAAATGATGAACAAAATTGGTGGTTATTGAATAAGTAAAGCAAATAGACAGGAAAATAACCATTCCTTCAACCCTAATTGGTGTCGATTATGAAATAATGCAAAGGAAAATGGCAACTGGTGTTAAGCTTTAAGAGGTGATCACAGATTAATATTTGTTACTCAACATCCATACAGTGATTGATTAATTGGATAATTATATATTCACTGGTGATTATTTTAGTGTCAAACAGTCATCATAGAATCACTGGGAAACTGGTTGAACAAAAAGCGTTTGGTGTTTAGTGGAACAAGCGAAAAGTAAAAAATTCAACAGAAAGGGATTTGAAGGAACGATGTAAAGACACTGTTATGTTGCTGTTACTGATGGTTCTCTTTTTGGACGGCATTATCGAGCAAAGTTATCGGAAGAGGTTACATTAAACGGTTTCATGGGCACAAAATTGGTGTTGTCACTGGTGAATAATAGCTTACCTAAATTAGCGTTATATTGGTAGGCAACAAAAGCCAATGCAATGGTTAGAAAGAGACACATGACTAGCGAGACAATTGCAATTGTGCATAAGCCCCTTTCCATACGAGTCCGACGATTCCACCAAGGAGGGTTTCTATTTATATTGAGCCACCAGGAGAGACAAGGAGAGCGAAAGAGTGAGAGAGAAGGAGATGAAATGGGGGAGAAAAAAATAAATAAATAATTAGATTGCCGTTGATAATTAAATTAACTGGGAAACACTGATGGTGAGTTACAACAGAATGGGAAGAGAGTTAAAGTCATAAGGTAGTGTAAAAGGAAGAAAGAGAGCAAGAGAAGAATGATTATGTTATGGATAAAGGAAAGAAAGAGAAGAAAGACTAAGGGAAAAGAAAGAGAGTAAGAGAGAAAGATAGAGAGAGAAATGTCCGAATCACGGAGTCATCAGGAAGCCAATCCGATGATGTTTATAATCATTCTCATAATCTTTTTTGCATCTCTTCCATCATCATTATCATCATAATCCAGTTAGTCTTCCGAACTTGGGGGATACAGATCAATATACCCGCCTCCAAAGCAATCGTCTTACTTTGTTATCTGTCATAACATTACATTTTCATACTGGAAATAGGATTTTAACTTGTGACCTGAATACATTGACTATGGACTGGTTTTAGCTCTGTGACTTGATGGCTATTGACCCTTACAAGCCTGGTCTAAGCGGTACTTTTTTTTATCATCTTTATTCCTATCATCCACATTAACATCATTTATATCTTCACTCAGATCCAGTTTCAGTTCATTTCAATTCACTTCACTTGATCACCAATTTTAATTTTGGCCTGACTCATTGTAAAGAACAGCAAAATTCAAATGTAGATTGAATAAGGTGTGTCATCTCGAACAAAATTGAAATCAAATGCCTTTTGGGTCAAATAAATTGAACAGTGAAGGGGATAATCTGAACTGGTGTTGATGGACACATATTAATTGATTCATCAACTTTAACACAAATATAACATGAAACGAGAGAAAAAAAACTAAATTTATTTTATTTCCAACAGAAACTGGCTGCACAGAATGAAAAGAAAGCTTGAAAATCACAAGATGGAGATGAACGTATGGATTGAACTTGAAAGTTGATCAACTTACCCTGCCAAATCATAAGAGCAGTTATGTTTAACACAAATATCATCATCATCATCATCATCACCAGTACTACAACTTGCAGAAGAAGCTTCAGATGTAACAGTAAATTTACAGAACGAATCCTTAATGGAAAGAGACGTTAAACCAATAAAGCTGACAGTGTCCTTAGGTGATAAAACCATTGTCAGTTAACAAAGTCATCAAATTAAACTTTAATCAAAACAAATTTAAATAACAAAGCAGCGAAATTACAAAATTCATTTGTCAACGCAAAACAACATGAAAGAGCGCAAAGATGATCAAGTATACAAGACGCTTGGACCTCGAAAAACTGGTTAAACACAATAAGCACATGAAGCACCAATAAACTGAAGATCGAAATCGAGTTGATAACTGCATGATTAATGGTTACAATAAAGATAACAAAAGCATCAATAGATCAACAATAATCATAATTAACTGCGAAACCAAAAAAAGCAAAGTGAAAGACTAATAAATTGTACAATTATGAACAGGAAGGAAACGTTGGTTAAAGGTAAAGTTGTTGAACAAGCAACCAAATCAAGGAGATTAATCAATGGATCAACTTTATTTGACTAAACATGTAAAACAAAAATGCAGTAAAATTGGTGGATATTTTGCGATTTTATCAATTCAAATAACGTAATAAACATCAACATAGAGAACGTGTTGAGCTTTACCAAACAAACAAATGAATACAACTGAGAATGGCGATTAAGATGATGATAATTGTGATGATGATTGAAGGGACATCAAAGTATATTTTGTTTCTTGGAGGAAAGTATCGCCAAAATGAATTACAACAAAAGACGATCAAAATGACATAAGATGATTATAAAAGGATGATGATTGTGACCAAGGAAAGAAGGCGAAATTTAATCAAGTTAAAAATAATGATTTTAAATTTGTTCTGGTCAAAGTAATTTATTACTATTTATCCTACTTTTTGGGTCAAATGATGACTTTCTTTGCTGTCTCTTCCTTCAACATTTGTCTCTCACATACAGGAATTGTGAATGTATTAAAGGTGATTCAAAATATTGAGGATAAAAGATGATAATGATAATTTCATCTTCATGGACTGAGAAAAAAAAGATGGAAAACTAATATTAAACGCAAAAAACGCATAAAATTCAATTGATGCGTATTGAGCAAACAAGAGCCAACATAGTAAAGCAAGGTTTAAATATCTTATTAATTTACTGATGGAAATTATCAATTTTTATAAATATTCATCGTTAAACCGAAATACTTCAATTTATTAACAATCAAATTGTTATTACAATTGTTGATTTAATATCCGTTAAGATGAGATTAACCATTATTTTGGCAAAAAATAAAATCCAAAGTAAGAGTTAAAATTGTGTTGCCATTTTCACGTTCATATTACCTCAATTTACCCGTTCATCTCTTGAATATGATAATGAAAGATTAAGATTCGGATAAAGATCAATTGGATAAAGTTGGAAACATGAAATTAACTGATTCATAAGGAATCATCAATTGTAACAATCTAAATGTGTAATCGAAATTGTTTGACCACGATTTATTGTTATTAATTGTATGAATTGTACCATTAAATCTATTCTTGGAAATCATCAACAATTCATTTCTTGAAAGCAAATTTTCCCTTTTCAATGTTGGTTACATTGTCATGTAATTTTATGAATAATACATCAACAACTAATTTCACGTTAACAATTAATTTGCAAAAATTGTTAGCTAATTGTGAAAATAAGAACAAGAATAAAGAAGAGAGATTAATTAATAGCAATTAATTGTTGAAACATAAAAGTGTTGAATTCAATTGTTGCAGGTTATTCATCTTAACATGAGATTTAAGATGTAAACAGTTTTAGCAACTTATCAATCTGAAAATGATTTACCATTTATTAGATTATTAATGAACAATTATGATAACTGAAGGCAAGTTTCAAGGTTGGAAATGTTTTCTTTTTTGTTCAGCTTCTGTAAAAGTTCTGGTTTATCTGGAAATGTATCAAGTTATCTAATAATTGAAAAGTTGAGTTAACATGATTTGCACCCAAAATTGATCACTTTGATGATAAATTGCATATTTTTTTGCTTCTCTCTGCTTACCTTTCAAGGTAAGGGGTAATTGGATTGGAATTGAAAAATGTTGAGTTAAATGTTGAATTACATTTTTGCTTCTATTAATCAACTTCTATTAATTCAATCAATTCAAATATTTAATGGAATTGAATCGGAAATAAAGTAACGACAAGGAAATAGATTTTGTCAACTGTTGATCAACTGTTGATTAGCCTTGCATTTTAACCATTAGACCATTTTGCATTATCGCAGTTCATTAAAAAGATAGACTTTGATATAACTTTGGATACCAACAAAGTGTCAAAATGTTTAAAATGAATAGAGTTTTTAACCCTTTTTTCCCATCAAATAAGCTTTCTATTAAAGTTTACTTTAATTTCCTTCTCATAACTTTTTTTGGCAACGCATCAAGTGAGAGCAAAAATAACATTTAGATGAGTAAAGATGATGATATTATAATCATCTTTTTCTTTTCATTTCAGATTAAATCATCTTTTCGATATTCATATTGACATTATTGTCAAGCTTGATTAATTTAATATCAAGTGAACCCATTGAAGGCAACACAAAAGTATTTCAATGTTAATCTGCAAATTTGCTTGTAAACAGTTGAGTCGTAAGGATTGTCAAGTAAAGGATTAATTTTTACTGTTCAAGTATTGGCTCATTTTTTCCGTGTTCAACTGATAACATTGTTTCATTTGAATCTGGTTCATCAAATTGAAACAATTGCCGATCTGATCATTTCTTTCAATCTTTATTTTGCTGCCAATTTTTGCTGGTATTCATAGAGATTCATGGAAAAGGTCATTGATTTGATAAAAATGAAAGTTAACGGACAATTGATTAACCTTTTTGGTTTCTCATTGCATCTGCAGTTTACTTCAACAATAGGCATTCAATTGATGGAATTAAAAGATTGCAATTTTTAATGTTAAACACATCAATCAAAGTTTAGACCAATTTTGATGATTTGTTCAGTAAAAGGGTGAAACTTGAACTGTAAACTTGAAACATTTGAATTTAAAAAATTATCGTTTTCTATGGAATCTGTTTGGCTAAGCTGTAAAAAAAGACAAAAAGCCATCAAAAAGTTTACTTTTTTACGCGCAAGAAATTGTGATTTTACATTTCATTTTAACACATTAATAAAGATGATAATAAAATAAAGGTTTGATCTATTCCCTAGTTTATCCTCCCAGTTTATGGGAAGGAAAATGAAGGTAATTGAGAGACTATTGTGGTTATCATGGCAGGGGGTGATGAAGATGAAGATGATGAGGATGGTTAAGGTGTTAGAGGTAGATAAACTTGTCAATTTAACATCTTTAGTGAGTTCATTGTTTTTCCTCAAATCTATGGATCATCATTATCAATGTATCATTGATCATTTACATTATTTATTATCATCTAACCCAAAATGTATTAACATCTAAAACTTTGAACCAAATGCTTGTCTTAACTTAGCAATTGACTAACTTGTTGCTTTGATTAACAAACAAACTGAGCTTGTTGATCATTAGAAACAATATTTGCTAAGGAATCAAATATTGAATTCAATTGGAACGTGAAGCAATTAAGAGATCAGACTTTCATTCAAAACCATCTTGACTTGAATAAAATTGAAAGCTAAATAATGGATGAAGTTTGATGAAAGTGGCTTTAATCGGGATTAAGCTTCTAAAGAGACACTAATTGTTAACCAGATTGTTCAACTGAAGCAGCATTTGAGCTTGAATTAAGACCATATAGCGAACCTCATGATTCAACAGATAAATCAGTTTCAACCTTGATTCCAAATCAAGATGAACAAGAGCACAACTCTAATTAACCAGGAATATTTAGTCAACAAGAGAAACCTGATCAAATGTTTACTCTCCATCCAAACAATGTTAGTCTTTAATTGTAACATAAAGGTATAAAGAGGGAATCACGTCCAAACAATTGTCATAAATGTTTAACTTATCAAATAAAGGATTAATTTAGAGTTTTGTATTTTATAATTTGCAGCTTACCTTGACATTGTTGAACTATTTGTAGATTTGATATCAGCCATTGTTACACACAAAAACACTCACAAATGCACAGAAAGTAGAGATGAAAATTTTTCCAGTAAAGAATCAAATTGTTGTGAATGAAAGCTTGCAATTAGTTAATCATTACATCAAATGTTGTCCACAATGATTACAAAAATATAAGACTTTCTTATTGTTCCTGAATGATGAAAATGATGTTACTCTTGTAATTACAGTTAATCAATTGATGTTGCAGCAACTGTTAAGGTCAATCAAATGCAGTAATCTTTTTCTCAGGTAAACAATCAACTGAGAAGTTAATTATAAACAATGAAACAACACACAATAATCAAAAATATATTTGCAGTTAGAATGAGCAAAAAAAGGTTAAATCAGTAAATGATTTCCTTAATTCGGTAAAGAGTATAAATAAAGTAATAACGATTTAGTTTTTGTCTCAATCTCAATCTGTGTGAAGATTAAACTTGCAATTTATACAATTTAATTGTTAAAATGTAGATGACAGAAGATGAGGAAAAAAAATTAGTATTTATTGCAACAAAAAGATGAACAAGATGAAGATGATGATGAGAATGAAAGTGTTACATGAAGAGAGTAAAAAGGTTTGAATTTTTGGGAAGAAACAACAAAAAACTTTTTCTTCTTGTTCGCAACTCAACTTTCTTAGTTGTGAAAAAGGTAACTCTGCTCGGGCGCTTTCATAAGAAACATTTATTGCTTAAAAATATCTTCATCTTCATCATCTTTTTCATCCTCATCTTTTTTATCTTCTTTCTCCACCTTTCTCTTTCTCTCTCTCACTTTAAGTCTCTTTACCTTTCAGTAGACATCCTTTTATTCAGAACCTGTTCATTGTTGGGATTAATTAACACATCAACTTGTTCATCTTAACAATTTAATTAGTTTCGATGAGAAAATATATTTTAAT